CAGGACCAGGAAGAGAGGACCAGAGAGGGACCAGAGAGAGACCATAGAGAGGGACCAGAGAGAGACCAGTGAGAGGGACCAGAGAGAGAGACCAGAGAGAGACCAGAGCGAGACCAGAGAGAGACTAGAGAGAGACTAGAGAGAGTCCAGGGAGAGACCAGAGAGAGACCAGAAAGAGACCAGTGAGAGACCAGAGAGAGACCAGAGAGAGGGACCAGAGAGAGACCAGAGAGAGACCAGTGAGAGACCAGTGAGAGACCAGAGAGACCAGAGAGAGACCAGAGAGAGGGACCAGAGAGAGACCAGAGAGAGACCAGAAAGAGACCAGAGAGAGACTAGAAAGAGTCCAGGGAGAGACCAGAGAGAGACCAGTGAGAGACCAGAGAGAGACCAGAAAGAGACCAGAGAGACACTAGAGAGAGACCAGAGAGAGACCAGAGAGAGACCAGAGAGACACCAGAGAGAGACCAGAGAGAGACCAGAGAGAGACCAGAGAGACAAGAGAGAGACCAGAGTATACATTGATGGTCCTCACCTAGTACATCCAGGGTGTAGCTGTGAGTCAAAGATCCGTGTCTGTTTTCTACGACACACGTGTAGTTTCCACGATCAGAAGGAACCACACTCTCCATCACCAAACTCCAGTGCTGGTGCCGCAGCTGAGGAGAGACCAGGAGAGACCAGAGGGGTCATGAGGGTCAGGGGTCATGATGGTCAGGGGTCATGATGGTCAGCTACTTTAACGCTAAGTAAAGATTTATTAATTACACACAAAAAACACGATACATTTTTTTTGACGCATTCCGCACTTTTCTCGCGGGAAATAGTTTTGGGGGAACTATTATACTGACGCACCACTGCTCCAAACAACAACAAACCCCACTAAACGAGTGACAGAGAACCTGACAGAGAACCTGACAGAGAACCAGACAGAGAACCTGACAGAGAACCAGACAGAGAACCAGACAGAGAACCTGACAGAGAACCTGACAGAGAACCTGACAGAGAACCTGACAGAGAACCTGACAGAGAGCCAGACAGAGAACCTGACAGAGAACCTGACAGAGAACACCAACACCTCCCTCTCCTCCCCCTCTCCTCCCTCCTCCCCTTGGTAGTCACTTTGATGCCCCCGATGCAGTGCTCTCCCCTGAACTCTCTCCTCCCTCCCCCTCCCTCCCCCTCCTCCCCTCTCCTCCTCCCTCCCCCTCCCCCTGGTACTCACTTTGATGCCCCCGATGCAGTGCTCTCCCCTGAACTCTCTCCTCCCTCCCCCTCCTCCCCCTCCTCCTCTCTCCTCCTCCCTCCCCCTCCTCCCCTCTCTCCTCCTCCCTCCCCCCTCCCCCTGGTACTCACTTTGATCCCTCCGATGCAGTGCTCTCCCCTGAACTCTCTCCTCCCGCCCCCCCCTCCCCCTCCTCCTCTCTCCTCCTCCCTCCCCCTCCTCCCCTCTCCTCCTCCCTCCCCCTCCCCCTGGTACTCACTTTGATCCCTCCGATGCGGTGCTCTCCCCTGAACTCTCTCCCGTTCTTGAGCCAGAGGATGGAGGGCAGCGGCGCTCCGGAGGCGGGACATCGGAACTTCACCGTGTTCCCGGCGGGAACCGCACAGAGACGCTTCTCCATCCGCTGAGTGTGCGTCCAGTACGGAGCTGAGAGACACCATCAAGGACCATCAGAGACCATCAAGGACCATCAAGGACCATCAACGACCATCAACGACCATCAGAGACAATCAGAGACCAGGAGAGACCATCGAAGACCTGAGTCTGTGTTTACACCCGTCCAGGCCCTGGGGCCACTCTGTATTATGTCATCACGACCAGAGACCAGAGAGAGACCAGAGAGAGAGAACAGAGAGAGACCAGAGAGAGAGACCAGAGAGACACCAGAGAGAGAGACCAGAGAGAGACCAGAGAGAGACCAGAGAGAGAGACCAGAGAGAGAGACCAGAGAGAGAGACCAGAGAGAGAGACCAGAGAGACCAGAGAGAGAGACCAGAGAGAGAGACCAGAGAGAGAGACCAGAGAGAGAGACCAGAGAGAGAGACCAGCGAGAGAGACTAAAGAGAGAGAGACCAGAGAGAGAGACCAGAGAGAGAGACCAGAGAGAGAGACCAGCGAGAGAGACTAAAGAGAGAGAGACCAGAGAGAGAGACCAGCGAGAGAGACTAAAGAGAGAGAGAGACCAGAGAGAGAGACCAGAGAGAGAGACCAGCGAGAGAGACTAAAGAGAGAGAGACCAGAGAGAGAGACCAGAGAGAGAGACCAGAGGGAGAGACCAGAGAGAGAGACCAGAGAGAGAGACCAGAGAGAGAGACTAAAGAGAGAAACCAGAGAGAGACCAGAGAGAGAGACTAAAGAGAGAGACCAGAGAGAGACCAGAGAGAGAGACTAAAGAGAGAGACCAGAGAGAGACTAAAGAGAGAGACCAGAGAGAGACTAAAGAGAGAGAGACCAGAGAGAGAGACCAGAGAGAGAGACCAGCGAGAGAGACTAAAGAGAGAGAGACCAGAGAGAGAGACCAGAGAGAGAGACCAGAGAGAGAGACCAGCGAGAGAGACTAAAGAGAGAGAGACCAGAGAGAGAGACCAGCGAGAGAGACTAAAGAGAGAGAGAGACCAGAGAGAGAGACCAGAGAGAGAGACCAGAGAGAGAGACCAGCGAGAGAGACCAGAGAGAGAGACCAGAGGGAGAGACCAGAGAGAGAGACCAGAGAGAGAGACCAGAAAGAGAGACTAAAGAGAGAAACCAGAGAGAGACCAGAGAGAGAGACTAAAGAGAGAGACCAGAGAGAGACCAGAGAGAGAGACTAAAGAGAGAGACCAGAGAGAGACTAAAGAGAGAGACCAGAGAGAGACTAAAGAGAGAGACCAGAGAGAGACTAAAGAGAAAGACCAGAGAGAGACCAGAGAGAGACTAAAGAGAGAGACCAGAGAGAGACTAAAGAGAGAGACCAGAGAGAGACTAAAGAGAGAGACCAGAGAGAGACTAAAGAGAGAGACCAGAGAGAGACCAGAGAGAGACTAAAGAGAGAGACCAGAGAGAGACTAAAGAGAGAGACCAGAGAGAGACTAAAGAGAAAGACCAGAGAGAGACTAAAGAGAGAGACCAGAGAGAGACCAGAGAGAGACCAGAGAGAGACTAAAGAGAGAGACCAGAGAGAGACCAGAGAGAGAGACCAGAGAGAGACCAGAGAGAGACCAGAGAGAGACTAAAGAGAGAGACCAGAGAGAGACCAGAGAGAGAGACCAGAGAGAGACCAGAGAGAGAGACTACTGACATCCCACACTGTTAGCAGGTTAGCATTGTCCGCCTAAAGACAGTCTACAGTTTGCAGCTGGTCATTTTTGAATTTGGACATAAAAAACCGATTCTCCTGAAGAGTAAAAGTAGATTTATTTTTGCAAAGAAAGAAACGACTTCTTTAAACGAGATGAAAACTCACCTCGAGAAACGAGAAGTCTGTCGTTCTCAGAAGAAGCTTCGTCAAAACCATCGTCTTCGTCATCGTCACCAGAACCAACAGCATCTGTACCAGAGAGACTTTAGAACCGGACCAGAGAGACCAGAAGGAGACCAGAGAGACCAGAAGGAGACCAGAGAGAGACCAGAGAGAGACCAGAGACAGACCAGAAGGAGACCAGAGAGAGACCAGAGACAGACCAGAAGGAGACCAGAGAGAGACCAGAGACAGACCAGAGACAGACCAGAAGGAGACCAGAGAGAGACCAGAGAGAGACCAGAGACAAACCAGAAGGAGACCAGAGAGAGACCAGAGAGAGACCAGAGACAGACCAGAAGGAGACCAGAGAGAGACCAGAGACAGACCAGAAGGAGACCAGAGAGAGACCAGAGAGAGACCAGAGACAGACCAGAAGGAGACCAGAGAGAGACCAGAGAGAGACCAGAGACAAACCAGAAGGAGACCAGAGAGAGACCAGAGACAGACCAGAAGGAGACCAGAGAGAGACCAGAGAGACTTTAGAACCGGACCAGAGAGACCAGAGAGACCAGAGAGACCAGAGAGACCAGAGATACCAGAAGGAGACCAGAGAGAGACCAGAGAGAGACCAGAGACAGACCAGAAGGAGACCAGAGAGAGACCAGAGAGAGACTAGAGCGAGACCAGGGAGAGACCAGAGAGAGACCAGGGAGAGACCAGAGAGAGACCAGAGAGAGACTAGAGCGAGACCAGAGAGACACCAGAGAGAGACCATGGAGAGACCAGAGAGAGACCAGGGAGAGACCAGAGAGAGACCAGAGAGAGACCAGAGAGAGACCAGAGAGAGAGACCAGAGAGAGACCAGAGAGACCAGAAGGAGACCAGAGGAGATCAGTGTGAGCAGAGAGAGAGACCAGAGAGAGACCAGAGAGAGACCAGAGAGATTATAGTTAGATCTTTTCTTACCAGCGACGGTGATGGTGAAGTTCCTCAGAGGATTCCTGGTCCCTCTGAGCGCACACAGGTACACGCCTGAGTCCTCGTACGTCATGTCAGAGATCTCCAAACTGGTCCCTCTCATCTGGACTCGGGGCGTGGCCAAGACCCGGGTTCCGTCCCGGTACCAGGACACGGCCATTCCTGGTCTGGAGCTGAGGTCGCAGCGCAGCCTCAGCTGGTTCCCCGGCTCCAGGAGAAGGTGCTCCATGGTATCGTCCAGAAACTCCTCCACGACGTCTGAGGAGGGAGATGAAAGAGTTTAGAATCTAACCAGATGAGAGAGACCAGAGGGAGAGACCAGAGGGAGCAGAGAGAGACCAGAGGGAGAGACCAGAGGGAGCAGAGAGAGACCAGAGGGAGCAGAGAGACCAGAGAGAGACCAGAGGGAGCAGAGAGAGACCAGAGAGAGACCAGAGAGAGACCAGAGAGAGACCAGAAAGAGACCAGAGAGACACCAGAGAGAGACCAGAGAGAGACCAGAGAGAGACCAGAGAGAGACCAGAGAGAGATCAGAGGGAGAGACCAGAGGGAGAGAGCAGAGAGAGACCAGAGAGAGACCAGAGAGAGACCAGAGGGAGAGACCAGAGGGAGAGAACAGACGAGAGAGACCAGAGAGAGACCAGAGAGAGACCAGAGGGAGAGACCAGAGAGAGACCAGAGAGAGACCAGAGAGAGACCAGAGGGAGAGACCAGAGGGAGAGAACAGACGAGAGAGACCAGAGGGAGAGACCAGAGAGAGACCAGTGAGAGACCAGAGAGAGACCAGAGAGAGACCAGAGAGAGACCAGAGAGAGACCAGAGAGAGACCAGAGAGACACCAGAGACCAGAGAGAGACCAGAGAGAGACCAGAGAGAGACCAGAGAGAGACCAGAGAGAGAGCAGAGCGAGACCAGCGAGAGACCAGAGAGACACCAGAGAGAGACCAGAGAGAGACCAGAGAGAGACCAGAGAGAGAGACCAGAGAGAGAGACCAGAGAGAGACCAGAGAGAGACCAGAGAGAGACCAGAGAGACACCAGAGAGAGACCAGAGAGAGACCAGAGAGACACCAGAGAGAGACCAGAGAGAGACCAGAGAGAGACCAGAGAGAGACCAGAGAGAGACCAGAGAGAGACCAGAGAGAGACCAGAGAGAGACCAGAGAGAGACCAGAGAGAGACCAGAGAGAGAGACCATAGTCTAATCTTCTTTTACCTTGTGAAGCCTTTGAAGTTCTCAGCTCCTCTTTATTCGTCGCCTTCGTTCCTAAAACACGACATAGTCACATCAGGACCATGTGTGGGTCCAGAAACCAGGACCATAAACAGACTCTGCAGTGGATGGTGTCTGTACCTGTGCTGACGTGGAGCCAGGCGGACTGCATGGCCTGCACCGTCTCCCCCTGGTGGACGCTCTGGGCGAGGCAGATGAACTCGCCGCCGTCCTGCGCCGTCACGTTCCTCAGACGCAGAGAGTACGTTTTACTGCCGTTGTTTTGTAAACGCTGGAACCAGAAGAAACGAGTTTGAATGAGTCTGGTCTCTCTCTGGTCTTTCTCTGGTCTCTCTCTGGTCTTTCTCTGGTCTCTATGGTCTCTCTCTGGTCCCTCTGGTCTCTCTCTGGTCTCTCTCTCTGGTCTCTATGGTCTCTCTCTCTGGTCTCTCTCTGGTCTCTCACTCTGGTCTCTCTCTCTGATCTCACTCTGGTCTCTCTCTCTGGTCTCACTGGTCTCTCTCTGGTCTCTATGGTCTCTCTCTGGTCCCTCTGGTCTCTCTCTGGTCTCTCTCTCTGGTCTCTCTCTGGTCTTTCTCTGGTCTCTCTGGTCTCTCTCTGGTCTTTCTCTGGTCTCACTGGTCTCTCTCTGGTCTCTCTCTGGTCTCTATGGTCTCTCTCTGGTCCCTCTGGTCTCTCTCTGGTCTCTCTCTCTGGTCTCTATGGTCTCTCTCTCTGGTCTCTCTCTGGTCTCTCACTCTGGTCTCTCTCTCTGATCTCACTCTGGTCTCTCTCTCTGGTCTCACTGGTCTCTCTCTGGTCTCTATGGTCTCTCTCTGGTCCCTCTGGTCTCTATGGTCTCTCTCTCTGGTCTCTATGGTCTCTCTCTCTGGTCTCTCTCTGGTCACTCTCTGGTCACTCTCTGGTCACTCTCTGGTCACTCTCTGTGCTCTCTCTGTGCTCTCTCTGTGCTCTCTCTCTGGTCTCCCTCTCTGGTCTCTCTCTCTGCTCTCTCTTTGCTCTCTCTCTGGTCTCTCTCTCTGGTCTCTCTCTCTGACCTCACTCTGGTCTCTCTCTTTCATCCCCAAATCCTTCTATAATTCATGTGTAGTGTGAGTGAGCGGACCAGCGCCTCTCCTGATTGGCTGTGTGGTTGCCGGGTCGTTGCTAACAGAGCACGTAGCTCCTGACTCCCACTAGTCTCTGAGATGGTGTGTGCTCTCTCACCGTCAGGGCCTGCAGATGTAGGTTCTCTCCCTGGTGCTGGTCCGAGCTGCTGCTGGTGTGAGCTCTGAGCCACTGGACCTGGGTCTGGTCTGGGCGGTGGACCTTACAGACCAGTGTGGCCTCCGCGCCCGCCTCCGCTGTCACGTTCTGGGGGAAACCCGGGAGGATGAGGGGCCTGGAGCTCCGGGGACCTGCGGAGAGGCTGCGGCATGAGGCTCACAGGTACCAGGAAGAGAGAGACCAGAGGGAGAGCAGAGAGAGAGAGCAGAGAGAGAGACCAGAGGGAGAGACCAGAGGGAGAGCAGAGAGAGAGAGACCAGAGAGAGAGACCAGAGGGAGAGCAGAGAGAGACGAGAGAGAGAGACCAGAGAGAGAGCAGAGAGAGAGACCATAGAGATCAGAGAGAGAGAGAGCAGAGAGAGAGAGACCAGAGGGAGACCAGAGGGAGACCAGAGGGAGACCAGAGAGAGAGAGACCAGAGAGAGAGAGAGAGCAGGGAGAGAGCAGAGAGAGAGAGAGAGCACAGAGAGAGCAGAGAGAGAGACCAGAGAGAGAGAGAGCAGAGAGACATCAGAGAGAGAGCAGAGAGAAGACTACTGCTTGTATCCACAGTGGTCTCTCTCTCTCTCTCTCTCTCTGCTCGTAGCCAGAGGGGTTTCTCTCTCTCTGCTGACTCCTACTTGCAGCGACAGGCCTCCTCACTGTCATTAGACGTGTAATTATTTTCTCTGAGCACGCTCTGATTTACGACCTCAGGAGACACGACAGGAAACGCCCGCACCACTCGATGAAAACCATTTAATCAGCAGAGACCAGAGCGAGACCGGAGGGAGCCGCATTCTTTCCACAAGGTGCCGGGACCTGGGGCAGCCCTCGCCCTTCTGTCAAAACCTCAGTGAGTTATGGGACGGTCCTGGATTAGGCTGGATTCACTAATGAGCTTTTCAGTTTCACTGCGGATCAGAGGCAGAGGGAGGGTTTCTCTCTGGACTGGAGGGTTATGTTGGACGTGGTCTCTCTCTAGTCACTCTCTCTGGTCTCTCCCTGGTCTCTCTCTGGTCTCTCTGGTCTCTCTCTGGTCTCTCTCTGGTCTCTGGTCTCTCTCTGGTCTCTCTCTGGTTTATCTCTCTCTGCACTCTCTCTGGTCTCTCCCTGGTCTCTCGCTGGTCTCTCTCTGGTCTCTCTCTGGTTTATCTCTAGTCTCTCTCTGGTCTCTCTCTGGTCTCTGGTCTCTCTCTGGTCTCTCTCTGGTCTCTCTGGTCTCTCTCTCTGGTTTATCTCTAGTCTCTCTCTGGTCTCTCTCTGGTCTCTGGTTTCTCTCTGGTCTCTGGTCTCTCTCTGGTCTCTCTCTGGTCTCTCTCTGGTCTCTCTCTGGTCTCTCTCTGGTCTATCTGGTCTCTCTCTGGTCTCTCTCTCTCTCTGGTCTCTCTCTGGTCTCTGGTCTCTCTCTGGTCTCTCTATGGTCTCTCTCTGGTCTCTCTCTGGTCTCTCTCTGGTCTCTCTCTGGTCTCTCTCTGGTCTCTCTCTGGTCTCTCTCTGGTCTCTCTCTGGTCTCTCTCTGGTCTCTCTCTGGTCTCTGGTCTCTCTCTGGTCTCTCTCTGGTCTCTCTCTGGTCTCTCTGGTCTCTCTCTGGTCCCTCCCTCTCAGTTCTGATCAAAGCTTGCGTCTCTCTCTTTGAAAACATTCATTGTGTTTCTTCAGGGCTTTTCCATCGGCACCGACCGGAGACCGTCGAGACCAGAGACCTTCGAGACCGGGCCCCGAGGGTCTGGTCTCAGAAAGTCTGGTCTCCGAAGGTCTGGTCTCAGAGGGTCTGGTCTCGGTCTCCACCAAAACTCACTGCATCGCGGCCTCAAAACTACAGGACAGACTTTCTCCACCTCTTTCACAGTCAGAGTTTACATACAGTTAACTAGGACCAAACCAGGACCAAACTAGACCAAAATAGACCAAACAAGGACCAAACTAGACCAAAATAGACCAAACCAGGACCAAACTAGACCAAACTAGACCAAACCAGGACCAAACCAGACCAAACCAGGACCGAACTAGACCAAACTAAACCAAACCAGGACCAAACAAGACCAAACCAGGACCAAACCAGGACCAAACTAGACCAAACTAGACCAAACCAGGACCAAACTAGGACCAAACTAGGACCAAACTAGACCAAACTAGACCAAACTAGACCAAACCAGGACCAAACTTGACCAAACTAGACCAAACTAGACCAAACTAAACCAAACCAGGACCAAACTAGACCAAACTAAACCAAACCAGGACCAAAGCAGGACCAAAGCAGGACCAAACCAGACCAAACCAGGACCAAACTTGACCAAACTAGACCAAACCAGGACCAAACTAGACCAAACTAGACCAAACCAGGACCAAACTAGACCAAACTAGACCAAACTAAACCAAACCAGGACCAAACTAGACCAAACTAAACCAAACCAGGACTAAACCAGGACCAAACCAGGATTAAACCAGACCAAACCAGGACCAAACTTGACCAAACTAGACCAAACCAGGACCAAACTAGACCAAACCAGCACCAAACTAGACCAAACTAAACCACACCAGGACCAAACCGGGACCAAACTAGACAAAACACTTTGGAGTAAAATACCTGGGTCACCTCCTTATTGCAGAGACCAGAGAGAGACCAGAGAGAGAGACCAGAGAGAGACCAGAGAGAGACCAGAGAGACACCAGAGAGAGACCAGAGAGAGACCAGAGAGAGACCAGAGAGAGACCAGAGAGAGACCAGAGAGAGAGACCAGAGAGAGACCAGAGAGAGACCAGAGAGAGACCAGAGAGAGACCAGAGAGACACCAGAGAGAGACCAGAGAGAGACCAGAGAGAGACCAGAGAGAGACCAGAGAGAGACCAGAGAGAGAGACCAGAGAGAGACCAGAGAGAGACCAGAGAGAGACCAGAGAGAGACCAGAGAGAGAGACCAGAGAGAGACCAGAGAGAGACCAGAGAGAGACCAGAGAGAGACCAGAGAGAGACCAGAGAGAGAGACCAGAGAGAGATACCAGAGAGAGAGACCAGAGAGAGACCAGATAGACTTTCAGAGAGGGATCATTCTTTCCTAACTGTAGCAGAACCATATTCTCTCTGGGGGACACAGGCTGTAACTGGTGCCTGTAACTGGTGCCTGTAGCTGGTGCCTGTAACTGGTGCCTGTAGCTGGTGCCTGTAGCTGGTGCCTGTAGCTGGTGCCTGTAATTGGTGCCTGTAGCTGGTGCCTGTAGCTGGTGCCTGTAGCTTGTGCCTGTAACTGGTGCCTGTAGCTGGTGCCTGTAACTGGTGCCTGTAGCTGGTGCCTGTAGCTGGTGCCTGTAGCTGGTGCCTGTAACTGGTGCCTGTAGCTGGTGCCTGTAGCTGGTGCCTTTAGCTGGTGCCTGTAGCTGGTGCCTGTAGCTGGTGCCTGTAACTGGTGCCTGTAGCTGGTGCCTGTAGCTGGTGCCTTTAGCTGGTGCCTGTAGCTGGTGCCTGTAGCTGGTGCCTGTAACTGGTGCCTGTAGCTGGTGCCTGTAGCTGGTGCCTGTAGCTGGTGCCTGTAACTGGAGCCTGTAACTGGTGCCTGTAGCTGGTGCCTGTAGCTGGTGCCTGTAGCTGGTGCCTTTAGCTGGTGCCTGTAGCTGGTGCCTGTAGCTGGTGCCTGTAACTGGTGCCTGTAACTGGTGCCTGTAGCTGGTGCCTGTAGCTGGTGCCTGTAGCTGGTGCCTGTAACTGGTGCCTGTAGCTGGTGCCTGTAGCTGGTGCCTTTAGCTGGTGCCTGTAGCTGGTGCCTGTAGCTGGTGCCTGTAACTGGTGCCTTTAGCTGGTGCCTGTAGCTGGTGCCTTTAGCTGGTGCCTGTAACTGGTGCCTTTAGCTGGTGCCTGTAACTGGTGCCTTTAGCTGGTGCCTGTAGCTGGTGCCTTTAGCTGGTGCCTGTAGCTGGTGCCTGTAGCTGGTGCCTGTAGCTGGTGCCTGTAGCTGGTGCCTGTAGCTGGTGCCTGTAGCTGGTGCCTTTAGCTGGTGCCTGTAGCTGGTGCCTGTAGCTGGTGCCTTTAGCTGGTGCCTGTAGCTGGTGCCTGTAGCTGGTGCCTGTAGCTGGTGCTTGTAGCTGGTGCCTGTAACTGGTGCCTGTAACTGGTGCCTGTAGCTGGTGCCTGTAGCTGGTGCCTTTAGCTGGTGCCTGTAGCTGGTGCCTGTAGCTGGTGCCTGTAACTGGTGCCTTTAGCTGGTGCCTGTAGCTGGTGCCTTTAGCTGGTGCCTGTAACTGGTGCCTTTAGCTGGTGCCTGTAACTGGTGCCTTTAGCTGGTGCCTGTAGCTGGTGCCTTTAGCTGGTGCCTGTAGCTGGTGCCTGTAGCTGGTGCCTGTAGCTGGTGCCTGTAGCTGGTGCCTTTAGCTGGTGCCTGTAGCTGGTGCCTGTAGCTGGTGCCTGTAGCTGGTGCTTGTAGCTGGTGCCTGTAACTGGTGCCTGTAGCTGGTGCCTGTAGCTGGTGCCTGTAGCTGGTGCCTGTAGCTGGTGCCTGTAGCTGGTGCCTGTAGCTGGTGCCTGTAACTGGTGCCTTTAGCTGGTGCCTGTAGCTGGTGCCTTTAGCTGGTGCCTGTAACTGGTGCCTTTAGCTGGTGCCTGTAGCTGGTGCCTTTAGCTGGTGCCTGTAACTGGTGCCTGTAGCTGGTGCCTGTAGCTGGTGCCTGTAACTGGTGCCTGTAGCTGGTGCCTGTAGCTGGTGCCTGTAACTGGTGCCTTTAGCTGGTGCCTGTAGCTGGTGCCTTTAGCTGGTGCCTGTAACTGGTGCCTTTAGCTGGTGCCTGTAACTGGTGCCTTTAGCTGGTGCCTGTAGCTGGTGCCTTCAGCTGGTGCCTGTAGCTGGTGCCTGTAGCTGGTGCCTGTAGCTGGTGCCTGTAGCTGGTGCCTTTAGCTGGTGCCTGTAGCTGGTGCCTGTAGCTGGTGCCTGTAGCTGGTGCTTGTAGCTGGTGCCTGTAACTGGTGCCTGTAGCTGGTGCCTGTAGCTGGTGCCTGTAGCTGGTGCCTGTAGCTGGTGCCTGTAGCTGGTGCCTGTAGCTGGTGCCTGTAACTGGTGCCTTTAGCTGGTGCCTGTAGCTGGTGCCTTTAGCTGGTGCCTGTAACTGGTGCCTTTAGCTGGTGCCTGTAGCTGGTGCCTTTAGCTGGTGCCTGTAACTGGTGCCTGTAGCTGGTGCCTGTAGCTGGTGCCTGTAACTGGTGCCTGTAGCTGGTGCCTGTAGCTGGTGCCTGTAACTGGTGCCTTGCTAATGAACTTGTGCAGACCGAGGTGCGCTGCCCTGGAATTGAACCCGCGGCGGAGTGTGAATTGTCACCCAAAGGCGAGAGGGCAAACACAACACACACAAACACACAAACACACACACAAACACACACACAAACACACACACAAACACACACACACAACACAAACACACACAAACACACACACACAACACAAACACACACAAACACACACACAACACAAACACACAAACACACACACAAACACACACACAACACACACACACAACACAAACACACGCACACAACACAAACACACACACACAACACAAACACACACACACACAACATAAACACAAACACACACACAACACACACACACAAACACACAAACACACACACAACACAAACACACAAACACACACACACAACACACACAAACACAACACACACAACACAAACACACAAACACACACAAACACACAAACACACACAAACACACACACACACAAACACACAAACACACACACACACAAACACACACAAACACACAAACACAAACACACACAAACACACAAACAAACACACACAAACACACAAAGCTCCCGCCGCCTGCTCCGACTCATTCTCTATTTATAACCATCAGGAATCCACTCTGCAATTAACCTCCATCTGAGGGACCAGGACCGGGACCAGGACCGGGACCAGGACCGGGACCAGGACCGGGACTGGGACTGGGACTGGTCTCTCTGCTCTACCTCTGCACTTGCTCTGGTCTCTCTCTGATCACTCTTTCTGGTCTCTCTCTGGTCTCTCTCTGGTCTCTCTCTGGTCTCCACCAAAACTCTCTGCATCGCGGCCTCATCACAAACTACAGGACAGACTTTCTCCACCTCTTTCACAGTCAGAGTTTACATACAGTTAACTAGGACCAAACTAGACCAAACTAGACCAAACCAGGACCAAACCTGGACCAAACCAGACCAAACCAGGACCAAACTAGACCAAACTAGGCCAAACTAGACCAAACTAGACCAAACTAAACCAAACCAGGACCAAACAAGACCAAACCAGGACCAAACCAGGACCAAACTAGACCAAACTCAGGTCTCTCTCTGCTCTCTCTCTGGTCTCTCTCTGGTTTCCCTCTGCTCTCTCTCTGGTCTCTCTCTGGTCTCTCTCTGGTCTCTCTCTGGTCTCTCTCTGGTCTCTCTCTGGTCTCCCTCTGCTCTCTCTCTGGTCTCTCTCTGGTCTCCCTCTGCTCTCTCTCTGGTCTCTCTCTGGTCTCTCTCTGCTCTCTCTCTGGTCTCCCTCTGCTCTCTCTCTGCTCTCCCTCTGATCTCCCTCTGGTCCCTTTGGTCTCTCTCTGGTCTCTCTCTGGTCCTGAATAGAGTCCTGGTATCTCAGCTCTTAATCGAGGACCAGAGGCATTGAGTGTCAGGGCTTCTGTCTGAGGGGAAACCCAAGACCCAGAGGGAGGGTCTGGGAGGAAGGGTCCAACTTATTTGAATAGAACGAGACCCGGTGAGAGGTCTTCGAACCAAACCCACTCAGCAGCAGAAGAACATTATAACTTTAACTTTAGCACATTTTTATGTAAACAAATAACAACAAATAATATTGTACATGGTTCACCTTTAAGTATAACATAACAACTGTAGAGTAGAGTAGAGTAGAGTAGAGTAGAGTAGAGTAGAGTAGGGTAGAGTAGAGTAGGGTAGGGTAGGGTAGGGTAGGGTAGGGTAGGGTAGGGTAGAGTAAAGTAGAGTAGGGTAGAGTAGAGTAGAGTAGAGTAGAGTAGAGTAGAGTAGGGTAGAGTAGGGTAGAGTAAAGTAGAGTAGGGTAGAGTAAAGTAGAGTAGAATAGAGTAGAGACAGAAAATGGAACAAAAGACCACAGAGAGAGACCAGAGAGAGACCAGAGAGAGACCTTTTTGTCTCTCTCTCTGGTCTCTCTGGTCCCTCTCTGCTCTCTCTCTGCTCTCTCTCTGGTCTCTCCAGAGAGAGACGAGAGAGTCCAGAGGGAGACCAGAGAGAGACCAGAGAGAGACCAGAGAGAGACCAGAGAGAGACCAGAGAGAGACCAGAGAGAGACCAGAGAGAGACCAGAGAGTCCAGAGAGAGACCAGAGAGAGACCAGAGAGAGACCAGAGAGTCCAGAGAGAGACCAGAGAGAGAGCAGAGAGAGAGACCAGGCAGACCTTTTTGTCAAACATAGAATCCAAAGTAGTTTCGTACCTTTGTCCTTGTGTGCGATGGTTCTGCCGCTCACAGACCAGCAGAGGCAGGAGACCAGCAGGAGCAGCTTACATCCCCACATAGTTCCACCGAAAGGACCGGACCAGGTCTGGACCAGGACCAGACCAAGGCTGGAGACCGGCTCACAACCCCGGCCCGGAGCAATGCATCACTGAGAGAGGACCTGCAGAGGGAGGACAGGTGTAAGTTTCCTCCAGGTGATACGGTTTACACTACCACTAAAAACATGTACTATATGAAAGAGTAAAGTAAACCCATCTTGCTAGAGTAGAGTAGAGTAGAGCAGAGTAGAGTAAAGTAGGGTAGAGTAGAGTAGAGCAGTGTAGAGTAGAGTAGAGTAGAGTAGAGTAGCGCAGAGTAGAGTAGAGTAGCACAGAGTAGAGTAGAGAAGAGTAGAGTAGAGTAGAGTATTGTAGAGTAGAGTAGAGTAGAGTGGAGTAGTGTAGAGTAGAGTAGAGTAGAGTGGAGTAGTGTAGAGTAGAGTAGAGTAGCGCAGAGAGTAGAGTAGAGTAGCGCAGAGTAGAGTAGAGTAGAGTAGCGCAGAGTAGAGTAGAGTAAGATTTCTGACCTGAGTTGAGGGTTTCAGGGAGAGAGACTGGAGGTGGCAGATAACGCTCTCTCTTTGTTTCTGAGGTCCGAAAACAATAATTTCAGTTTTTTCTGTGTTTAGCTGGAGAAAGTTATTTTGCATCCAATCACTGATCTGTTGGATACAGTGAAGGAGCGAGTCCACTGGTCCATGTTCTCCTGCTGTCAGGGACACATAGACCTGAGTATCGTCAGCATAATTGTGATAGGACACGTTATTACTGTGTATTAACCTACCCAGAGGCAGCATGTAAATATTAAACAGGAGAGGCCCCAGGATTGAGCCCTGTGGCACTCCGCAGGTCAGGGCCAGATGGTCTGAGACACAGTTTCCGATCTCCACAAAATACTTTCTGTCCTGTAGGTAGGATATAAACCAGCTTAGGGCTGTTCCAGAAACACCAACCCAGTCCTCAAGTCTCTGAATGAGGATACCATGATCGACAGTGTCTAAACACAGCCGCAGGTCTGTGGACAGCATGGATGGGTCTAAACACAGCCGCAGGTCTGTGGACAGCATGGATGGGTCTAAACACAGCTGCAGGTCTGTGGACAGCATGGATGGGTCTAAACACAGCCGCAGGTCTGTGGACAGCATGGATGGGTCTAAACACAGCCGCAGGTCTGTGGACAGCATGGATGGGTCTAAACACAGCCGCAGGTCTGTGGACAGCATGGATGGGTCTAAACACAGCCGCAGGTCTGTGGACAGCACGGATGGGTCTAAACACAGCTGCAGGTCTGTGGACAGCATGGATGGGTCTAAACACAGCCGCAGGTCTGTGGACAGCATGTATGGGTCTAAACACAGCCGCAGGTCTGTGGACAGCATGTATGGGTCTAAACACAGCTGCAGGTCTGTGGACAGCATGGATGGGTCTAAACACAGCCGCAGGTCTGTGGACAGCATGGATGGGTCTAAACACAGCCGCAGGTCTGTGGACAGCATGGATGGATCTAAACACAGCCGCAGGTCTGTGGACAGCATGGATGGGTCTAAACACAGCCGCAGGTCTGTGGACAGCATGGATGGGTCTAAACACAGCTGCAGGTCTGTGGACAGCATGGATGGGTCTAAACACAGCCGCAGGTCTCACCATTGGTCCAGACTTCCCCATGTTTCCAGACGGACCACGTTTTCCCTAAAGATGAGAAACAAACATTAAGTCTTTCTGAAAACCATCAAACACGACAGAGTAATAATACTGGTTAAAGGAGCGTTACCTGGACTCCACCTGGTCCTGGGCGGCCTCTCTCTCCTGGCATACCAGCGGGGCCCTAAACACCAGCACACGGTCATTCACACATGGTACAGTACAGTATAGTTTGGCATCAGTACGATTTAGCTTCATTGTTTTGCCTTTAACAGAATGGTGCTAGTGACATGGAAGTCAGAGAGAGATGGAGCAAAACTTCATCCATGAGCACTTCTCTATTGGGCTGCAATAAGCTAGCAGGTTAGCATTGTCCATCCAATGTATTTAAGAAATGTCAGTGTTGTATTATAAGTTAACAACAGTCTATAATTGCTCACAAATGGATTCAGAAGCAACAAATAATCAAGTTTATTGATCTAAAAAGGTCCTAATCCAAAATGGACCCCCAGAGACAGAGGTTAGAGACCCCCAGAGGCAGAGGTTAGAGACCCCAGAGACAGAGGTTAGAGACCCCCAGAGGCAGAGGTTAGAGACCCCCAGAGACAGAGGTTAGAGACCCCAGAGGCAGAGGTTAGAGACCCCAGAGGCAGAGGTTAGAGACCCCCAGAGGCAGAGGTTAGAGACCCCAGAGACAGAGGTTAGAGACCCCAGAGGCAGAGGTTAGAGACCCCAGAGGCAGAGGTTAGAGACCCCCAGAGGCAGAGGTTAGAGACCCCAGAGGCAGAGGTTAGAGACCCCCAGAGGCAGAGGTTAGAGACCCCCAGAGGCAGAGGTTAGAGACCCCCAGAGACAGAGGTTAGAGACCCCCAGAGGCAGAGGTTAGAGACCCCCAGAGGCAGAGGTTAGAGACCCCCAGAGGCAGAGGTTAGAGACCCCCAGAGACAGAGGTTAGAGACCCCCAGAGGCAGAAGTTAGAGACCCCCAGAGACCCCAGAGGCAGAGGTTAGAGACCCCAGAGACAGAGGTTAGAGACCCCCAGAGACAGAGGTTAGAGACCCCCAGAGGCAGAGGTTAGAGACCCCCAGAGGCAGAGGTTAGAGACCCCAGAGGCAGAGGTTAGAGACCCCCAGAGGCAGAGGTTAGAGACCCCAGAGACAGAGGTTAGAGACCCCAGAGGCAGAGGTTAGAGACCCCAGAGGCAGAGGTTAGAGACCCCAGAGACAGAGGTTAGAGACCCCCAGAGACAGAGGTTAGAGACCCCAGAGGCAGAGGTTAGAGACCCCCAGAGGCAGAGGTTAGAGACCCCAGAGGCAGAGGTTAGAGACCCCAGAGGCAAGAGAGAGAGACCAGAGAGAGAGACCAGAGAGAGAGACCAGAGAGAGAGACCAGAGAGAGAGACCAGAGAGAGAGACCAGAGAGAGAGACCAGAGAGAGAGACCAGAGAGAGAGACCAGAGAGAGAGACCAGAGAGAGAGACCAGAGAGAGAGACCAGAGAGAGAGACCAGAGAGAGAGACCAGAGAGAGAGACCAGAGAGAGAGACCAGAGAGAGAGACCAGAGAGAGAGACCAGAGAGAGAGACCAGAGAGAGAGACCAGAGAGAGAGACCAGAGAGAGAGACCAGAGAGAGAGACCAGAGAGAGAGACCAGAGAGAGAGACCAGAGAGAGAGACCAGAGAGAGAGACCAGAGAGAGAGACCAGAGAGAGAGACCAGAGAGAGAGACCAGAGAGAGAGACCAGAGAGAGAGACCAGAGAGAGAGACCAGAGAGAGAGACCAGAGAGAGAGACCAGAGAGAGAGACCAGAGAGAGAGACCAGAGAGAGAGACCAGAGAGAGAGACCAGAGAGAGAGACCAGAGAGAGAGACCAGAGAGAGAGACCAGAGAGAGAGACCAGAGAGAGAGACCAGAGAGAGAGACCAGAGAGAGAGACCAGAGAGAGAGACCAGAGAGAGAGACCAGAGAGAGAGACCAGAGAGAGAGACCAGAGAGAGAGACCAGAGAGAGAGACCAGAGAGAGAGACCAGAGAGAGAGACCAGAGAGAGAGACCAGAGAGAGAGACCAGAGAGAGAGACCAGAGAGAGAGACCAGAGAGAGAGACCAGAGAGAGAGACCAGAGAGAGAGACCAGAGAGAGAGACCAAGAGAGAGACCAGAGAGAGAGACCAGAGAGAGAGACCAGAGAGAGAGAGACCAGAGAGAGAGACCAGAGAGAGAGACCAGAGAGAGAGACCAGAGAGAGAGACCAGAGAGAGAGACCAGAGAGAGAGACCAGAGAGAGAGACCAGAGAGAGAGACCAGAGAGAGAGACCAGAGAGAGACCGAGAGAGAGACCAGAGAGAGAGACCAGAGAGAGAGACCAGAGAGAGACCAGAGAGAGAGACCAGAGAGAGAGACCAGAGAGAGAGACCAGAGAGAGAGACCAGAGAGAGACCAGAGAGAGACCAGAGAGAGAGACCAGAGAGAGAGACCAGAGAGAGAGACCAGAGAGAGAGACAGAGAGAGAGAGAGACCAGAGAGAGAGACCAGAGAGAGAGACCAGAGAGAGAGACCAGAGAGAGAGACCAGAGAGAGAGACCAGAGAGAGAGACCAGAGAGAGAGACCAGAGAGAGAGACCAGAGAGAGAGACCAGAGAGAGAGACCAGAGAAGAGAGACCAGAGAGAGAGACCAGAGAGAGACCAGAGAGAGACCAGAGAGAGAGACCAGAGAGAGAGACCAGAGAGAGAGACCAGAGAGAGAGACCAGAGAGAGAGACCAGAGAGAGACCAGAGAGAGACCAGAGAGAGACCAGAGAGAGAGACCAGAGAGAGAGACCAGAGAGAGAGACCAGAGAGAGAGACCAGAGAGAGAGACCAGAGAGAGAGACCAGAGAGAGAGACCAGAGAGAGAGACCAGAGAGAGAGACCAGAGAGAGAGACCAGAGAGAGAGACCAGAGAGAGACCAGAGAGAGAGACCAGAGAGAGAGACCAGAGAGAGAGACCAGAGAGAGAGACCAGAGAGAGAGACCAGAGAGAGAGACCAGAGAGAGAGAGACCAGAGAGAGAGACCAGAGAGAGAGACCAGAGAGAGAGACCAGAGAGAGAGACCAGAGAGAGAGACCAGAGAGAGAGACCAGAGAGAGGACCAGAGAGGGAGACCAGAGAGGGAGACCAGAGAGAGAGACCAGAGAGAGAGACCAGAGAGAGACCAGAGAGAGAGACCAGAGAGAGAGACCAGAGAGAGACCAGAGAGAGAGACCAGAGAGAGACCAGAGAGAGACCAGAGAGAGAGACCAGAGAGAGACCAGAGAGAGAGACCAGAGAGAGACCAGAGAGAGACCAGAGAGAGAGACCAGAGAGAGAGACCAGAGAGAGAGACCAGAGAGAGAGACCAAAGAGAGAGACCAGAGAGAGAGACCAGAGAGAGAGACCAGAGGGAGACCAGAGAGAGAGACCAGAGAGAGAGACCAGAGAGAGAGACCAGAGAGAGACCAGAGAGAGAGACCAGAGGGAGACCAGAGGGAGAGACCAGAGAGAGAGACCAGAGAGAGAGACCAGAGAGAGACCAGAGAGAGACCAGAGAGAGAGAGACCAGAGAGAGCGACCAGAGAGAGACCAGAGAGACCAGAGAGAGACCAGAGAGAGAGACCAGAGAGAGAGACCAGAGAGAGAGACCAGAGAGAGACCAGAGAGAGACCAGAGAGAGAGACCAGAGAGAGACCAGAGGGAGACCAGAGGGAGACCAGAGAGAGAGACCAGAGAGAGAGACCAGAGAGAGAGACCAGAGAGAGAGACCAGAGAGAGAGACCAGAGAGAGAGACCAAAGAGAGAGACCAGAGAGAGAGACCAGAGAGAGAGACCAGAGGGAGACCAGAGAGAGAGACCAGAGAGAGAGACCAGAGAGAGAGACCAGAGAGAGACCAGAGAGAGAGACCAGAGGGAGACCAGAGGGAGAGACCAGAGAGAGAGACCAGAGAGAGACCAGAGAGAGACCAGAGAGAGACCAGAGAGAGACCAAAGAGAGAGACCAGAGAGAGAGACCAGAGAGAGACCAGAGAGAGACCAAAGAGAGAGACCAGAGGGAGACCAGAGGGAGACCAGAGGGAGACCAGAGGGAGACCAGAGGGAGACCAGAGAGAGTTTCTGGTACCTGGTAGTGCTGCTGGGCCATCAGGGGGTTGTTGAACGAGGCCTGACAAACGGAGCAGAAGTGGTTTGGGTCCGATTTGTCGTGAACTGGAACTCCTGTTTTCTGCTTCTTTGCTGGAACTGGAGAAGTCTGAGAGAGAGCTACTGAGAGAGACCAGGAAGAGACCAGAGAGAGACCAGAGAGAGAGACCAGAGAGAGACCAGAGAGAGAGACCAGAGAGAGACCAGAGAGACCAGAGAGAGAGACCAGAGAGAGACCAGAGAGACCAGGAAGAGACCAGAGAGAGACCAGAGAGACCAGAGAGAGAGACCAGAGAGAGAGACCAGGAAGAGACCAGAGAGAGAGACCAGAGAGAGAGACCAGAGAGAGAGACCAGAGAGAGAGACCAGAGAGAGACCAGAGAGACCAGAGAGAGAGACCAGGGAGAGACCAGAGAGAGAGAGACCAGAGAGACCAGAGAGAGAGACCAGAGAGAGAGACCAGAGAGAGAACAGAGAGCGACCAGGGAGAGACCAGGGAGAGACCAGAGGGAGACCAAAGGGAGACCAAAGGGAGACCAGAGGGAGACCAGAGGGAGACCAGAGAGAGACCAGAGGGAGACCAGAGGGAGACCAGAGGGAGACCAGAGGGAGACCAGAGAGAGACCAGAGAGAGACCAGAGGGAGACCAGAGAGAGACCAGAGAGAGACCAGAGGGAGACCAGAGGGAGACCAGGGAGGAACCACAGAAGAGGTGTTCATTAGAGGCATATGATACAGAGGACCCAAAGAGTCCAGTCTGAAACCCTGGACTTGGAGGTACAGTGCCCTAGTGTTCTAACTGACTGTGACGGGACAGAGTGCAGCTGGAAGAGGAGAGAGTAAGAGAGTAGAGAGAGAGGAGAGAGTAAGAGAGTAGAGAGAGAGGAGAGAGTAAGAGAGTAGAGAGAGAGGAGAGAGTAGAGCTAGCACTGAAGTGTTCTAACCATAGACTCTATGAAACTAATGTGACATCACTTTAACCGTCTATGGCCAGTTTCAAAATGGCCGCAAGGAAAATGTGAAAAAACCACAGCGGCTAAACTAGACTGGTCCAGAACACTCCCCTCAACATCGACAGCATCTGGAACGTAGCTTTGGACCAAGAACCACTTTTGGACCAAGAGCCACTTTTGGACCAAGAGCCACTTTTGGACCAAGAGCCACCTTTGGACCAAGAACCACTTTTGGACCAAGAACCACTTTTGGACCAAGAACCACTTTTGGATCAAGAGCCACTTTTGGACCAAGAACCACTTTTGGACCAAGAGCCACTTTTGGACCAAGAGCCACTTTTGGACCAAGAGCCACTTTTGGACCAAGAACCACTTTTGGACCAAGAACCACTTTTGGACCAAGAACCACTTTTGGACCAAGAGCCACTTTTGGACCAAGAGCCACTTTTGGACCAAGAACCACTTTTGGACCAAGAGCCACTTTTGGACCAAGAGCCACTTTTGGACCAAGAACCACTTTTGGAGCAAGAGCCACTTTTGGATCAAGAGCCACTTTTGGACCAAGAGCCACTTTTGGACCAAGAGCCACTTTTGGACCAAGAGCCACTTTTGGACCAAGAACCACTTTTGGACCAAGAACCACTTTTGGACCAAGAGCCACTTTTGGACCAAGAACCACTTTTGGATCAAGAGCCACTTTTGGACCAAGAACCACTTTTGGACCAAGAGCCACTTTTGGACCAAGAGCCACTTTTGGACCAAGAACCACTTTTGGACCAAGAGCCACTTTTGGACCAAGAACCACTTTTGGACCAAGAACCACTTTTGGACCAAGAGCCACTTTTGGACCAAGAGCCACTTTTGGACCAAGAACCACTTTTGGACCAAGAGCCACTTTTGGACCAAGAGCCACTTTTGGACCAAGAACCACTTTTGGACCAAGAACCACTTTTGGATCAAGAGCCACTTTTGGACCAAGAGCCACTTTTGGACCAAGAACCACTTTTGGACCAAGAGCCACTTTTGGACCAAGAGCCACTTTTGGACCAAGAACCACTTTTGGACCAAGAACCACTTTTGGACCAAGAGCCACTTTTGGACCAAGAACCACTTTTGGATCAAGAGCCACTTTTGGACCAAGAACCACTTTTGGACCAAGAGCCACTTTTGGACCAAGAGCCACTTTTGGATCAAGAGCCACTTTTGGACCAAGAACCACTTTTGGACCAAGAACCACTTTTGGACCAAGAGCCACTTTTGGAACAAGAGCCACTTTTGGACCAAGAACCACTTTTGGACCAAGAGCCACTTTTGGACCAAGAACCACTTTTGGACCAAGAACCACTTTTGGACCAAGAACCACTTTTGGACCAAGAGCCACTTTTGGACCAAGAGCCACTTTTGGACCAAGAGCCACTTTTGGATCAAGAGCCACTTTTGGACCAAGAGCCACTTTTGGACCAAGAACCACTTTTGGACCATCCTGTAAAGCCGTTTTCCAGAGGTAAGAAGATGCCAGACAAAAGCATTGGCTAATTCTTATTCCGGGTGCACCCCCACAGGCCCGGGGTGGTATTGCAGATGTCAGCGCAGAATCATTTTGGACATATTTGAGCCGGGACCCGCCCACACTGATTCTACCCGACAGTGATTGGCCAGAGTGCAGCTGGTTGTCATGGTTACAGAATACGCTCAATATTTCTACTGGACTCACCGGTGGTCTGTGGAGTCTGGGGTCCGATGGTCTGGGGTCCCGTGGTCTGGGCTCCTGGGGTCTCGGCTCCTGGGGTCTCGGCTCCTGGGGTCTCGGCTCCTGGGGTCTCGGCTCCTGGGGTCTCGGCTCCTGGGGTCTGGACTCCCGGGGTCTGGGCTTTCGGGGTCTGGGCTTTCGGGGTCTGGGGTCCCACGGTCTTGAGGCGCAGGTTCTTGGCGTGGACTTTCCCCTGATAGTGAGACTCTGCCATGACTGCGGAGGTGAACGTCATGTTGCAGACCACGCAGGCTTTGAAGCGGTCGGTCTCTCCATTATTACAGTCCTGAAGAGAGAGACCGGTCAGAGACAAGACCAGGGCCAAGACCAGGGTCAGAGACAAGACCAGGGTCAGAGACAAGACCAGGGTCAGAGACAAGACCAGGGTCAGAGACAAGACCAGGGCCAAGACCAAGACCAGGGCCAAGACCAAGACCAGGGCCAAGACCAAGACCAGGGCCAAGACCAGGGCCAAGACCAAGACCAGGGCCAAGACCAGGGCCAAGACCAGGGCCAAGACCAGGGCCAAGACCAGGGCCAAGACCAGGGCCAAGACCAGGGCCAAGACCAGGGCCAAGACCAGGGCCAAGACCAGGGCCAAGACCAGGGCCAAGACCAGGGCCAAGACCAGGGCCAAGACCAGGGCCAAGACTCAGATAGAAAGACAATTCCAAGACAGGACCCAGGCCAAGACCAAGACCCAAACCAAGATACCAGAGAGAGAGAGAGAGACAGGTCAGAGACAAGAGATGACAACACTATCTGTGTCAGAACAGTCTGAGGCCGATATCTGACCTGGGATCAGTTAAGAAGGCGGAGAGACCAGTGAGAGAGGGAGAGAACCCAGTGAGAGAGGGAGAGAGACCAGTGAGAGAGGGAGAGAGACCAGTGAGAGGGAGAGAGACCAGTGAGAGAGGGAGAGAGACCAGTGAGAGGGAGAGAGACCAGTGAGAGAGAGAGAGACCAGTGAGAGGGAGAGAGACCAGTGAGAGAGGGAGAGAGACCAGTGAGAGAGAGAGAGACCAGTGAGAGAGAGAGAGACCAGTGAGAGAGAGACCAGTGAGAGGGAGAGACCTGTGAGAGAGAGACCAGTGAGAGGGAGAGACCTGTGAGAGAGAGAGACCAGTGAGAGAGAGACCAGTGAGAGGGAGAGACCTGTGAGAGAGAGAGACCAGTGAGAGAGAGACCAGTGAGACAGAGACCAGTGAGACAGAGACCAGTGAGACAGAGACCAGTGAGACAGAGACCAGTGAGACAGAGACCAGTGAGACAGCGACCAGTGAGAGAGAGAGAGACCATTGTACTGAGCCAAAGCAAATTCCTGGTGTGTGTGACTTTGTACTATGGTAATAAAGAGATTCCTGGTTCTGGTCTGAGGCAGTGACTCACGGTGTTGATGGTCGAAGGCTTCTTTAACGTCGGCTCATTCTCGTTCTGAATGAAAAAGTAGCGTCGCACTTTGTTGGAGTGTTTCTTGCTCTTGAAGCAGAAAAGAAAACAAACATTAATTAAACAGGACCAGAGGGACAGGACCGGAGGGACAGGACCGGAGGGACAGGGCCGGAGGGACAGGACCGGAGGGACAGGGCCGGAGGGACAGGACCGGAGGGACAGGACCGGAGGGACAGGACCAGAGGGAAAGGACCAGAGGGAAAGGACCAGAGGGACAGGGCCAGAGGGACAGGGCCAGAGGGACAGGGCCAGAGGGACAGGGCCAGAGGGACAGGGCCAGAGGGACAGGACCGGAGGGACAGGACCAGAGGGAAAGGACCAGAGGGAAAGGACCAGAGGGACAGGGCCAGAGGGACAGGGCCAGAGGGACAGGGCCAGAGGGACAGGGCCAGAGGGACAGGGCCAGAGGGACAGGACCAGAGGGACAGGACCAGAGGGAAAGGACCAGAGGGAAAGGACCAGAGGGACAGGACCAGAGGGACAGGACCAGAGGGAAAGGACCAGAGGGAAAGGACCAGAGGGACAGGACCAGAGGGACAGGACCAGAGGGACAGGACCAGAGGGACAGGACCAGAGGGACAGGACCAGAGGGACAGGACCAGAGGGACAGGACCAGAGGGACAGGACCAGAGGGACAGGACCAGAGGGACAGGACCAGAGGGACAGGACCAGAGGGACAGGACCAGAGGGACAGGACCAGAGGGACAGGACCAGAGGGACAGGACCAGAGGGACAGGACCAGAGGGACAGGACCAGAGGATAAGTTAAACGGATCAGTTACACGGATAATAAATATCACAATCATTTTCTCTACTATTTTGATGTAATCATTTGTGCAAAACATCACGATACTGAACAGAGCTGTGCATCTGAACTAAGCCTGTAGCTGCAGAGGCGGCCACCAGGGGGCGAGTAGAGGACCAGGGGAGGACTGACCTGGTAGAGGACCAGGGGAGGACCGACCTGGTGGAGGACCAGGGGAGGACTGACCTGGTAGAGGACCAGGGGAGGACCGACCTGGTAGAGGACCAGGGGAGGACTGACCTGGTAGAGGACCAGGGGAGGACTGACCTGGTAGAGGACCAGGGGAGGACTGACCTGGTAGAGGACCATGGGGAGGGACTGACCTGGTAGAGGACCAGGGGAGGACTGACCTGGTAGAGGACCAGGGGAGGACTGACCTGGTAGAGGACCAGGGGAGGACTGACCTGGTAGAGGACCAGGGGAGGACTGGACCTGGTAGAGGACCAGGGGAGGACCGACCTGGTAGAGGACCAGGGGAGGACTGACCTGGTAGAGGACCAGGGGAGGACTGACCTGGTAGAGGACCAGGGGAGGACTGACCTGGTAGAGGACCAGGGGAGGACTGACCTGGTAGAGGACCAGGGGAGGACTGACCTGGTAGAGGACCAGGGGAGGACTGACCTGGTAGTGCGTGAGCTTCTGGGACTCTGAAATGAGGACAGCGCTGCAGACTTTACACTGAGAGTCTGAAAACAGGTCACTGTGTTCTGCGATCATTTTATTCACTGAAAGAAAACAAGATCAACATCAGCGACCAGAAGAAACATGAGACCAGAGAGAGAGACCAGAGAGAGACCAGAGAGAGAGAGGCCAAGGAGAGACCAGAGAGAGACCAGAGAGAGAGAGGCCAAGGAGAGACCAGAGAGAGACCAGAGAGAGAGAGGCCAAGGAGAGACCAGAGAGAGACCAGAGAGAGACCAGAGAGAGAGAGGCCAAGGAGAGACCAGAGAGAGGCCAGGGAGAGACCAGGGAGAGACCAGAGAGAGACCAGAGAGAGACCAGAGAGAGACCAGAGAGAGACCAGAGAGAGACCAGAGAGAGAGAGGCCAAGGAGAGACCAGAGAGAGACCAGAGAGAGAGAGGCCAAGGAGAGACCAGAGAGAGACCAGAGAGAGAGAGGCCAAGGAGAGACCAGGGAGAGACCAGAGAGAGAGAGACCAGGGAGAGATCAGAGAGAGAGAGACCAGGGAGAGACCAGAGAGAGAGATCAGAGAGAGCAAAGATGCCCTTTTTAATTCACAAATGTTCTGTGTTTTCCGCAGTGAGAAGGACATTTATTACGGATTTTTCAAATAAATGATAATAGTTTGAGTCCTTTGTTGTTTTCCACATCCAGAACTACAGAAGAATGTCAACATCAGACATTTCACACTAATGCATGAGTTCACAAAGACTGAGCAGAAATCTGACTAGGGAGAGACAGAAACCAGGGAGAGACCAGAGAGAAACCAGGGAGAGGCCAGAGAGAGATCGGGGAGACAGAGACCAGAAAGAGACCACAGACAGAGAGCAGAGGGACCAGAGAGAGACTAGAAAGAGAGAGAGCATCAGCTATTTCACACTACTCCACGACTTCGAATGGACTGTGTTTGAGCAGAAATGGCTGAGATCTGGTTCTGCGCAGCTTGGATCTGGGGGAAAGTGGGTCTCCTTTAAGACTGCACCAGTACCGTGCATTTGTCATTCTCCCGGATGAGCTGCATGAGAAAAACACGTGTGGGCTCGACGGTATGGCTCTACTCCCGTTAAATAAAGCAGGAAGCTCGGTGCTCTGGTCGACCTTGGAGCGACAGAAGCGCAGTGGCTCTGTTAGCTTTAGCATGTTAGCTCCGGCTGCAGACCCGCACTTCAAAAGCATCCAAACCCGCAGAGAGGAGAGGCTAATCCCGCCACAGCCACGTCCACACACCGCCAGGGGACGGGGGAGAGGGGCATGCGTCTTACCCTCCGCTAAACCCGAAGGTAAATACGGGAAATCCTCGGTCTGCATCGTGTCCGCCATGGTGGTCCAGCTGCTCCGTAACGCGCATGCGCAGAAGAGCGGGACACCTGGAGCAACAAACATTCCAAACATTTTTGTGTGTGTGTCTCTCTCACTGGTCTCTCTCTCTTTCTGGTCTCTCTCTCTCTCTGGTCTGTCTATGGTCACCAGAGAGAGAGACCATAGACAGACAATGGTCTGGTCTCTCTCACTAGTCTCTCTCTCTGGCCTCTCTCTCTCTCTCTCTGGTCTCTCTCCCTCTTGTCTCTCCCTGGTCTCTCCCGCTGTGGTCTCTCTCTCTGGTCTCTCTCGCTGTGGTCTCTCTCTCTGGTCTCTCTCCCTGGTCTCTCTCCCTGGTCTCTCCCGCTGTGGTCTCTCTCCCTGGTCTCTCTCTCTGGTCTCTCTCTGGTCTCTCTCGCTGTGGTCTCTCTCTGGTCTCTCTCTGGTCTCTCTCTCTGGTCTCTCTCTCTGGTCTCTCTCCCTCTTGTCTCTCCCTGGTCTCTCTCTCTGGTCTCTCTCTCTGGTCTCTCTCGCTGTGGCCTCTCTCTCTCTCTCTCTCTGGTCTCTCTCCCTCTTCTCTCACCCTCTGTGTTCTCTCTCTCTGGTCTCTCTCGCTGTGGTCTCTCTCTCTGGTCTCTCTCTGGTCTCTCTCCCTGATCTCTCTCCCTGGTCTCTCCCGCTGTGGTCTCTCTCCCTGGTCTCTCTCTCTGGTCTCTCTCTGGTCTCTCTCTCTGGTCTCTCTCTGGTCTCTCTCTGGTCTCTCTCTGGTCTCTCTCCCTGGTCTCTCCCGCTGTGGTCTCTCTCTCTCTCTCTGGTCTCTCTCCCTGGTCTCTCCCGCTGTGGTCTCTCTCTGGTCTCTCTCTCTGGTCTCTCTCCCTGGTCTCTCTCACTAGTCTCTCTCTCTGGCCTCTCTCTCGCTCTCTGGTCTCTCTCTCTGGCCTCTCTCTCTCTCTCTCTGGTCTCTCTCCCTCTTGTCTCTCCCTGGTCTCTCTCTCTGGTCTCTCTCTGGTCTCTCTCTGGTCTCTCTCTGGTCTCTCTCCCTGGTCTCTCTCCCTGGTCTCTCTCTGGTCTCTCTCTCTGGTCTCTCTCCCTGGTCTCTCCCGCTGTGGTCTCTCTCCCTGGTCTCTCTCTCTTGTCTACCTAACTAGTCTCTCTCTGGAGTAATTCCCTCTTTGCTCTAGGTGGCTGAGTGGTTCGCATTCTCGCTTCTCAGCAAGAAGGTGCTGGGTTCGGATCCCGGTCTGAACAAGGCCTTTCTGAGTTCAGTTTGTATGTTTAGGTATTCCATGACACTTTGAAGCAGCTGTGGTTAAAGTTCTAACTCATCATTCTAACATATGCACAAGGCAGTACTTCTCCACTGCAGAAGGCCAAAGCTACTGACCCCACGGTGAAAGCTGATTGGAGTGAAGGCAGTACTTCTCCACTGCAGAAGGCCAAAGCTACTGACCCCACGGTGAAAGCTGATTGGAGTGAAGGCAGTACTTCTCCACTGCAGAAGGCCAAAGCTACTGACCCCACGGTGAAAGCTGATTGGAGTGGAGGCAGTACTTCTCCACTGCAGAAGGCCAAAGCTACTGACCCCGCGGTGAAAGCTGATTGGAGTGAAGGCAGTACTTCTCCACTGCAGAAGGCCAAAGCTACTGACCCCACGGTGAAAGCTGATTGGAGTGAAGGCAGTACTTCTCCACTGCAGAAGGCCAAAGCTACTGACCCCGCGGTGAAAGCTGATTGGAGTGAAGGCAGTACTTCTCCACTGCAGAAGGCCAAAGCTACTGACCCCGCGGTGAAAGCTGATGGGACGGTGTTATTCCTCCGCTGTATATTATCACTTACATTCTGTAACGTCTTTGTTCTGTCTCTACCATCGACAATAAAACATGTCTTCTGTCTGAATTAAAGACACTATCCCAGACTTTGTCATCTTCTTCACATGTTCTCCCCGTGTCTGAGTAGGTTTCCTCCGGGTACTCCGGGTTTCCTCTACCACTACTGACCCCTCTCCCATCTCTGTGTGGACTGAGAGACTAATGCCCACAATTGTAAACCATGGGCATTTGTCTCTCTCTGGTCTCTCTCTCTAGTCTCTCTCTCTGGTCTCTCGCTGGTCTCTCTCTGGTCTCTCTCTGGTCTCTCTCTCTGGTCTCTCTCTGGTCTCTCTCTGGTCTCTCTCTCTGGTCTCTCTCTGGTCTCTCTCTGGTCTCTCTCTGGTCTCTCTCCGGTCTCTCTCTGGTCTCTCTCTGGTCTCTCTCTGGTCTCTCTCTGGTCTCTTTCTCATGGTCTCTCTCTCTGGTCTCTTTCTCATGGTCTCTCTCTCTGGTCTCTCTCTGGTCTCTCTCTCCGGTCTCTCTCTGGTCTCTCTCTGGTCTCTCTCTGGTCTCTCTCCGGTCTCTCTCCGGTCTCTCTCTGGTCTCTCTCTGGTCTCTCTCTGGTCTCTCTCTGGTCTCTCTCTGGTCTCTCTCCGGTCTCTCTCCGGTCTCTCTCTGGTCTCTCTCCGGTCTCTCTCTGGTCTCTCTCTGGTCTCTCCCTGTATATCTCCCTCATTGCGGCCTCTGCCAACATCGACACAGGCCACGATGAACCGGGAAAGTGACGCACCCCAGCTTTAAGCCTAGTTTATACTCGCGCGGCGCGGAGCTTACGGAGGTGACGTGACGTCACTTGCGCAACGCGTTGGTCACCGCAAGGCCCTTACGTCGCCTGCCGCGCAGCATCGAAATTTTCTAACTACGTAAGGGTCGCCGCAAGGAAGCTCCGCTGTGATTGGTCCGTGTGTGTGTATTGGAAGGAAGCACGGAGCGGCTGCAGCAGGAGCATGGACGAGGCACTATGGAGCAGAGAGCTTTGTGCTTCGAAGGAAAAGCAGTTTGGGCTCAGAGCCTGATACAGGAGAAAGTGGACTATCTAACATATATATAACTTATATCTAACTTATATATAACTTATATCTAACATATATATAACTTATAAACTGTGCAGTCGTTTGTTTTGCACTGTTCCTGTCTTGTTTGAATCGTAGCTGCGTTTGTTGCTTTCCTCCTGCACTCGTGAATCGTTCGTGTTTGTCTCAGATATTTACCACTATTATTGTTTTGCTGTTTGTGCTGAAAACGTCTGCGCGTGCGTCACTGCGTCACTGCGTCACGCCTCTTGCGTCGTGTCACGTGGGCACCGCAAACAAAAATGGCGCCGCGAAAGTGATGGAGAGAGTTCGGTGAGGAACAGACTGACATTTTACACTTACGACAGTGTTTAACGTTAACAACCGCAGCTCAGACCACAACAGCCGCTCTCCCCAGCACTTCAGCGATCACACAGGCCCACAGTGACTGAAATTAATATTTATTTATATACACCGGTTCCGTGGTGGTTTTACACACAAAGTTTCACGCTACTTTAACTGTTATCTTTTATTTATTATTTATTTATTAACAGAATCTAAAAACAGTGATATTATGACACACACACATCACATTATTACTACTGCATTGTTACTTCCACAATATTATTCATATGCGTCACTTAGATACGCATATGGTCCTGGTTCATGGTGTTCACAGGTGATGTGTCCTAAAGAGAAGTATCTGAATGTTTAAAGGCTATAACCATCAGGGAGAGACCAGAGAGAGACCAGAGAGAGACCAGGGAGAGAGACCAGAGAGAGACCAGGGAGAGCCGAGAGAGAGACCAGAGAGAGAGACCAGAGAGAGACCAGGGAGAGCCGAGAGAGAGACCAGGGAGAGAGACCAGAGAGAGAGACCAGGGAGAGAGACCAGAGAGAGAGACCAGGGAGAGACCAGAGAGAGACCAGGGAGAGAGACCAGGGAGAGAGACCAGAGAGAGAGACCAGGGAGAGAGACCAGAGAGAGAGACCAGGGAGAGAGACCAGAGAGAGAGACCAGGGAGAGAGACCAGGGAGAGCCGAGAGAGAGCCGAGAGAGAGACCAGGGAGAGAGACCAGAGAGAGACCAGAGAGAGAGACCAGGGAGAGAGACCAGAGAGAGACGAGAGAGAGCCCAGAGAGAGACGAGGGAGAGCCCAGAGAGAGACCAGAGAGAGACCAGAGAGAGACCAGAGAGAGACCAGAGAGAGACCAGAGAGAGACCAGAGAGAGACCAGAGAGAGAGCCCAGAGAGAGACCAGAGAGAGACCAGGGAGAGAGACCAGAGAGAGACGAGAGAGAGCCCAGAGAGAGACCAGGGAGAGAGACCAGGGAGAGACCAGGGAGAGACCAGAGAGAGACCAGAGAGAGACCAGAGAGAGACCAGAGAGAGACCAGAGAGAGACCAGAGAGAGACCAGAGAGAGACCAGAGAGAGCCGAGAGAGAGACCAGAGAGAGCCGAGAGAGAGACCAGAGACAGACCAGGGAGAGACCAGGAAGAGAGAGAGAGAGACTAGAGAGAGACACCAGGGCGAGAGACCATAAAGAGCAAAGAGAGAGACCACAGAAAGATACCAGAGAAAGAGATTAGAGAGAGACACCAGAAAGACTTTAAATAAAGATAACTGTCATCTCATACTAATGTTTTTGGAGTAAACACACGGCGCATGAGAAAACCAGCGAGACCTCAGAGTGTTTTATAATTGAAGCTTATTTTGCTTATTACTGTTTTATTTTCTGATTAGTTCACGTCCGTTCTCTGTTCTTTCTCTGGTTCAGGGTCAAAGCCACGATGCCTTTGAGGAAGCGCATAAACAGGGTCGAGGCAATTCTCCAGGAAACAAGCGGAACGCAGGACGACGACGATGACGACGAGGATGTGGTGAGAACTGCGCCATAACAATAAATAGTACTCGATAATGACCGCTCATTCAGGACGAAGGCGGAGAAATCCCCAAACACAACCGTCTACATGACTCAGGGCTGTGCGATATGGCTGAAACCTATATCACAATATAAGTAATTCATCAATGACGATATATATTGATTTTGTTTTTATTTATTTTTTTACCTTTAGCAGCCTTGTTTACAGTCACGGGGGAATGAGGCTCGAGGAGTATATTCACAAGCAGTCTCCCCCATAGTTAGTCCTGGTGTAATCCTGGTTCATCTCCTGTTTTGTGTCCCCATGACGGCTCCGGGCGGTCTCTGGTCTCTCTGGTCTCTCTCTGGTCTCTCTCTGGTCTCTCTGGTCTCTCTGGTCTCTCTGGTCTCTCTCTGGTCTCTCTCTGGTCTCTCTCTGGTCTCTCTCTGGTCTCTCTGGTCTCTCTCTGGTCTCTCTCTGGTCTCTCTCTGGTCTCTCTCTGGTCTCTCTCTGGTCTCTCTGGTCTCTCTCTGGTCTCTTTCTGGTCTCTCTCTGGTCTCTCTCTGGTCTCTCTCTCTGGTCTCTCTCTGGTCTCTCTCTGGTCTCTCTCTGGTCTCTCTCTGGTCTCTCTGGTCTCTCTCTGGTCTCTCTCTGGTCTCTCTCTGGTCTCTCTCTGGTCTCTCTCTGGTCTCTCACTGGTCTCTCTCTCTGGTCTCTCTCTGGTCTCTCTCTGGTCTCTCTCTGGCCTCTCTCTCTGGTCTCTCTCTGGTCTCTCTCTGGTCTCTCTCTGGTCTCTCTCTGGTCTCTCTCTGGTCTCTCTCTGGTCTCTCACTGGTCTCTCTCTCTGGTCTCTCTCTGGTCTCTCTGGTCTCTCTCTGGTCTCTCTCTGGTCTCTCTGGTCTCTCTGGTCTCTCTCTGGTCTCTCTCTGGTCTCTCTCTGGTCTCTCCTGTTTTGTGTCCCCATGACGGCTCCGGGCGGTCGCTCTCTGATAGCTCTCTGATAGCTCTGTGTCCGCTGCCTCTCCCGCGCCGCACATGCTGAGCCTCGCACGGACATGCAGAACCACTGACACGGCATTGAAAAGCAATCTTAGATCCATGGACGCTACGCATTGTGCAGTTGGTGTATCTCCCACAATGTTTTTGCAGTTCATACTCGGCTGTGATAGGTTGAGAAGTCTCTGCCTACATCTCCCAGAATGCCGCGCGCTTCTGACTCGGCTTTACTTCCTGTTTTTTCTCATGTTCTTTTGACTCCGTTTTCTATTGATATCGAACTGTGTCTATCGCAATATATATGGTTATCGTTTTATCGCCCAGCCCTAACATGACCCCATACCTCGGTTTACAGCTCTGAGTCTTGTGAATCCATGAATCTATTATTGGTGGCTTTAAAAAGTCCACACAGGGACATGCAGGAGAGAGCACATCACCACCAAGTCGTTTTTCTCTCTCTCTGCTCTCTCTCTGCTCTCTCTCACTGGTCTCTCTCTGGTCTCTCTCTGGTCTCTCTCTCTGCTCTCTCTCACTGGTCTCTCTCTGGTCTCTCTCACTGGTCTCTCTCTGGTCTCTCTCTGGTCTCTCACTGGTCTCTCTCTGGTCTCTCTCACTGGTCTCTCTCTGGTCTCTCTCTCTGGTCTCTCTCTGGTCTCTCTCTGGTCTCTCTCACTGGTCTCTCTCTGGTCTCTCTCTCTGGTCTCTCTCTGGTCTCTCACTGGTCTCTCTCTGGTCTCTCTCTCTGGTCTCTCTCTCTGGTCTCTCACTGGTCTCTCTCTGGTCTCTCTCTCTGGTCTCTCTCTCTGGTCTCTCACTGGTCTCTCTCTGGTCTCTCTCACTGGTCTCTCTCTGGTCTCTCTCACTGGTCTCTCTCTGGTCTCTCTCTGGTCTCTCTCTGGTCTCTCTCTGGTCTCTCTGCTCTCTCTCACTGGTCTCTCTCTGCTCTCTCTCACTGGTCTCTCTCTGGTCTCTCTCACTGGTCTCTCTCTCTGGTCTCTCTCTCTGGTCTCTCTCTGGTCTCTCTCTGGTCTCTCTCTGGTCTCTCTCTGGTCTCTCACTGGTCTCTCTCTCTGGTCTCTCTCTCTGGTCTCTCTCTGGTCTCTCTCTGGTCTCTCACTGGTCTCTCTCTGGTCTCTCTCTCAGGTCTCTCTCTCTGGTCTCTCTCTGGTCTCTCACTGATCTCTCTCTGGTCTCTCTCTGGTCTCTCTCTGGTCTCTCTCTCTGGTGTCTCTCTCTGGTCTCTCACTGGTCTCTCTCTGGTCTCTCTCTGGTCTCTCTCTGGTCTCTCTGGTCTCTCTCTGGTCTCTCTCTGGTCTCTCTCTCTGGTCTCTCTCTGGTCTCTCTCTGGTCTCTCTCTGGTCTCTCTCTGGTCTCTCTCTGGTCTCTCTCTGGTCTCTCTCTGGTCTCTCTCTGGTCTCTCTCTGGTCTCTCTCTGGTCTCTCTCTGGTCTCTCTCTCTGGTCTCTCACTGGTCTCTCTCTGGTCTCTCTCTCAGGTCTCTCTCTCTGGTCTCTCTCTGGTCTCTCACTGGTCTCTCTCTGGTCTCTCACTGGTCTCTCTCTGGTCTCTCACTGGTCTCTCTCTGGTCTCTCTCTGGTCTCTCACTGGTCTCTCTCTGGTCTCTCTCTGGTCTCTCTCTGGTCTCTCTGGTCTCTCTCTGGTCTCTCTCTGGTCTCTCTGGCCTCTCTCTGGTATCTCTCTCTGGTCTCTCTGGTCTCTCTCTGGTCTCTCTCTCTGGTCTCTCTCTGGTCTCTCTCTCTGGTCTCTCTCTCTGGTCTCTCTCTGGTCTCTCTCTGGTCTCTCTCTGGTCTCTCTCTGGTCTCTCTCTCTGGTCTCTCTCTCTGGTCTCTCTCTGGTCTCTCTGGCCTCTCTCTCAGGTCTCTCTCTCTGGTCTCTCTGGTCTCTCTCTGGCCTCTCTCTCTCACTGCTCTCTCTCTGCTCTCTCTCTAGTCTCCCTCTGGTCTCCCTCTAGGCTCTCTCTGGTCTCGTGAGAGGACGTGTCTTTACTGGTCCCTGATGTGTTTAAGGAGGAAGTGTCTGCAGTTTCCAGAGAGCGACGAAGACGAGAGCAGAAACACAAGTTAAACTCTGAAGGTGATTTTACTCAAACACAAGTCGTTCTCTTTGTCTTTTAATAACCATTGTTTTTAGACGGATCGTAAAGGTGTGGTTGTTGTGCAGAGATGTCGGAGGAGGAGATGATGGCTCTGGCTCTGCGCCTCAGTGAGCAGGAGGCCACAGCCACAGCACAGAGGCTCCAGGAGGAAGAGGAGGCAGTGAAGAAGGCCATCCAGGACAGTGTGAGATAAACACAGGGGTTTGGGGCTGAGAAGGTTCTTCTAAAGACAGAACCTGTAGAAGAAGATTTAGCTGCTTAACCTTTGTCAGAGGGTTTTACCTTTAATGAGGGCTTTCTCTCTCGTGCTGCTCTCTCTCTGGTCCCTGGTCTCTCTATCTGCTCTCTCTCTGGTCCGTGGTTTCTCTCTCTGGTCTCTTTGCTCTCTCTCTGCTCTCTCTCTCTCTGGTCGCTCTCTGGTCTCTCTCTGCTCTCCCTCTCTGGTCTCTCTCTCTGCTCTTTCTCTGGTCTCTCTCTGCTCTCTCTCTGGTGGCTCTCCCCCTGGTCTTTCTCCCTGGACTCTCTCTCTGGTCTCTCCCTGGTCTCTCACCCTGGTCTCTCTCCCTGGTCTCTCTCCCTGGTCTCTCTCCCTGGTCTCTCACCCTGGTCTCTCTCCCTGGTCTCTCTCTGGTCTCCCCTTGGTCTCTCTCGCTGCTCTCTCTCGCTGCTCTCTCTCGCTGCTCTCTCTCCCTGGTCTCTCCCCCTGGTCTCTCTCTCTGGTCTCTCTCTCTGGTCTCTCTCTGGTCACTCTCCCCCTGGTCTTTCTCTCTGGTCTCTCTCCCTGGTCTCTCTCTGGTCTCCCCTTGGTCTCTCTCTCTGCTCTCTCTCGCTGCTCTCTCTCGCTGCTCTCTCTCCCTGGTCTCTCCCCCTGGTCTTTCTCTCTGGTCTCTCTTCCTGGACTCTCTCTCTGCTCTCTCTTTCTGCTCTCTCCCTGGTCTCTCCCTGGTCTCCCCCTGGTCTCTCTCCCTGGTGTCTCTCTGGTGTCTGTTATAATGGTAGTTTTGTCTCTGGTCTCAGATGTTCAGTGAGTCCCTGATGGAGGTTTCTCCCGTCTGTGTCTCCTCTCGTCGTAAACTGTCGTATTCAAACGGAAAATCTCAGCCGGAGTCCGCAGACAGAGGTCCCAGGATCAGGAGGCTCAGAGCGGGGCAGACCAGTCCTCTGATGGAGATGCCCGACCTGTCCCAGACCCAGACCCAGACCCAGACCCAGGCCTCCCCCAGCAGCTCGCCTCAGGTCTGTATCACTCTGATCACATCCAACTGTTTAAAGGAGATGAAACCACAGTGTTTATGGTCCTAAAATACATGGTACATGGTTTCTCCATTTGTTTATGTTTAGTCATGTTGTTGATGTTTGTGTCATTTCAAAGGAACATGAAACATTATAAAAGGGAATATTCTTAAGATCATGTTTCAGGGTCAAAACAAACTGTTATATTGATTGAGAGAGAGCAGAAGGAGAGAGTAGAGAGAGAGAGCAGAGAGAGAGAGCAGAGAGAGAGAGAGCAGAGAGAGCAGAGAGAGAGAGCAGAGAGAGAGAGAGCAGATAGAGAGACCAGAGAGACAGACCAGAGAGAGAGAGCAGAGAGAGAGAGCAGAGAGAGAGAGTAGAGAGAGAGAGCAGAGAGAGAGAGCAGAGAGAGAGAGAGCAGAGAGAGAGAGAGCAGATAGAGAGACCAGAGAGACAGACCAGAGAGACAGACCAGAGCGGGAGACCAGAGCGGGCGACCAGAGCGGGCGACCAGAGCGGGAGACCAGAGCGGGCGACCAGAGCGGGAGACCAGAGCGGGCGACCAGAGCGGGCGACCAGAGAGGGAGACCAGGGAGAGAGCAAATAGAGAGTGAGCAGAGAGAGACCAGAGCGGGAGACCAGAGCGGGAGACCAGAGCGGGAGACCAGAGAGGGAGACCAGAGCGGGAGACCAGAGCGGGAGACCAGAGCGGGAGACCAGAGAGGGAGACCAGAGAGGGAGACCAGAGCGGGAGACCAGAGCGGGAGACCAGCGAGGGAGACCAGGGAGAGAGCAAATAGAGAGCGAGCAGAGAGAGACCAGAGCGGGAGACCAGAGCGGGAGACCAGCGAGGGAGACCAGAGCGGGAGACCAGAGCGGGAGACCAGAGCGGGAGACCAGAGAGGGAGACCAGAGAGGGAGACCAGAGCGGGAGACCAGAGCGGGAGACCAGAGCGGGAGACCAGAGCGGGAGACCAGAGCGGGAGACCAGAGCGGGAGACCAGAGCGGGAGACCAGAGAGGGAGACCAGAGAGGGAGACCAGAGAGGGAGACCAGAGAGGGAGACCAGAGAGGGAGACCAGAGAGGGAGACCAGAGAGGGAGACCAGAGAGGGAGACCAGAGAGGGAGACCAGAGAGGGAGACCAGAGAGGGAGACCAGAGAGGGAGACCAGAGAGGGAGACCAGAGAGGGAGACCAGAGAGGGAGACCAGAGCGGGAGACCAGAGCGGGAGACCAGAGCGGGAGACCAGAGCGGGAGAGAGAGACCAGAGAGAGAGACCCCAGAGAGAGACCCCAGAGAGAGACCCCAGAGAGTTATATTGTTTGTAAAGCTGTTCTCTCTCCTCTCAGAGTTGCGACTCCACTCAGATTGAGGACTGCGATCATCCCTCCTCTCCTGTCTTCCCCTCCTCCTCCTCGGCTCGGGTCCTGGACCAGACCTCAGTCCACGTCCCCAAACCGGACCAGACCTCTGCCCACGTCCCCAAACCAGACCAGACCTCTGTCCACGTCCCCAAACTGGACCAAACCTCTGTCCACATCCCCAAACTGGACCAGACCTCTGTCCACGTCCCCAAACTGGACCAGACCTCTGTCCACGTCTCCAAACTGGACCAAACCTCTGTCCACATCCCCAAACTGGACCAGACCTCTGTCCACGTCCCCAAACTGGACCAGACCTCTGTCCACGTCTCCAAACTGGACCAGACCTCTGTCCTCGTCCCCAAACTGGACCAGACCTCGCTGGACTCCTCCTCCTCCAAACGGTTTGTCCTCCTCTCCCCGGACCTTCGCCGCAGAGCTCACCCACACAGATCCAAGGTCTCTTACAACCTGACGTCGTGTCCCAAACCCAAACCCGAGTCCGAGTCTGAGAGACCTAAACCCGAGTCCGAGTCTGAGCGACCCAAACCCAAGTCTGAGTCTGTGAGCCCGGTCTTTGGCCGCACAGACGCCACATCGGACTCTGAGAAGTTGGAGGCCACACCGATGTTCTCGTCTCCAGAGAGTTCCATGTCTTTCTGTTTGGACAAAGACTTCATCAACAGTCCCGTGTTTTCTAGGATGCAGCGAAGAGACTGGAACAGAGAGACCACAGAGGAGGACCGAGGACCAGAGGAGGGCCAAGGGGCAGAGGAGGACCGAGGTGGAGGGGAGGACCGAGGAGCAGAGGAGGACCAAGGAGCAGAGGAGGACCGAGGAGCAGAGGATGACCGAGGTGGAGGGGAGGACCGAGGAGCAGAGGAGGACCAAGGAGCAGAGGAGGACCGAGGAGCAGAGGAGGACCGAGGTGGAGGGGAGGACCGAGGTGGAGGGGAGGACCGAGGAGCAGAGGAGGACCGAGGACCAGAGGAGGACCGAGGACCAGAGGAGGACCGAGGTGGAGGGGAGGACCGAGGACCAGAGGAGGACCGAGGGGGAGGGGAGGACCGAGGAGCAGAGGAGAAGCAGAGCGAGCACGAGACTTCCTGCGACATGACCCTGCACTGGTCCGAAGAAGAGGACGACGTCGCCACGGTAACGACATTCTCTTCTGTGTTTAGTTATTAACACCGGCGTCACCTAAAAAATGACAGGTTTTAGCCTCGTTAATGATGTAAAAGAAATTGTATCAACTGCCCTCTTGTGTGTGCAGCCTGTGATCTGCCCAAGTCCGGTGTTTCCAGAGGAGAGACCAGACCAGGACCAGGATGTGAGAGAGGAGAGACCAGACCAGGACCAGGATGTGAGAGAGGAGAGACCAGACCAGGACCTGGATGTGAGAGAGGAGAGACCAGACCAGGACCATGGAGACCGTGAGGAGCAGAAGAAGAAGAAGGAAGCACAAAATCACTGCAGGTAAATGTGAACGCAGTGTACAAGCAACACAAGGTCTGTCTCTGAGTCCTGGGTCTACAGCCTCAGTCCTGGGTCTACAGCCTCAGTCCTGGATCTACAGCCTCAGTCCTGGATCTACAGCCTCAGTCCTGGGTCTACAGCCTCAGTCCTGGATCTACAGTCTCAGTCCTGGGTCTACAGCCTCAGTCCTGGATCTACAGCCTCAGTCCTGGGTCTACAGCCTCAGTCCTGGGTCTACAGCCTCAGTCCTGGATCTACAGCCTCAGTCCTGGGTCTACAGCCTCAGTCCTGGATCTACAGTCTCAGTCCTGGGTCTACAGCCTCAGTCCTGGATCTACAGCCTCAGTCCTGGGTCTACAGCCTCAGTCCTGGATCTACAGCCTCAGTCCTGGATCTACAGCCTCAGTCCTGGGTCTACAGCCTCAGTCCTGGGTCTACAGCCTCAGTCCTGGTATTGTCCACTGTGTTGATCCTGTTCTGTTTCCTCCAGAGCCGACGGTCCGCAGACTCTGTGTGCTGCTCTGGATGAAGCTCTAGGTTTCTCTGGAGACGCTCCGGCTCCAACCACGGTCCATTATTACTGGGGAGTTCCCTTCTGCCCCCGGGGCCTGGACCCAGACCGCTACACCAAGGTACATCTGCTTTAACTATTGCCCTCATGAAACCCAGGCCTGTCTGTGAGGCGTTTGCATGTTCTCCCTGTGTCTGTGGAGGTTACTTCAGGATTCTATGGGTTTTCCCACCTCCCAAAACATGGATTGTGGATAAATCCTTCTTAAAATTCAATGTATTTATGTATCGCCCTAAATGACAGCAGCAGTCGTCCACAGGGGACAGAGAACCAAACAAATGCACTAATAACAAACACATAGGAGCAGGCTGTAGACCCAGGACTGAGGCTGTAGACCCAGGGCTGAGGCTGTAGACCCAGGACTGAGGCTGTAGACCCAGGGCTGAGGCTGTAGACCCAGGACTGAGGCTGTAGACCCAGGACTGAGACTGTAGACCCAGGACTGAGGCTGTAGACCCAGGACTGAGGCTGTAGACCCAGGACTGAGGCTGTAGATCCAGGACTGAGGCTGTAGACCCAGGACTGAGGCTGTAGACCCAGGACTGAGGCTGTAGACCCAGGACTGAGGCTGTAGACCCAGGACTGAGGCTGTAGACCCAGGACTGAGGCTGCAGACCCAGGACTGAGGCTGTAGATCCAGGACTGAGGCTGTAGATCCAGGACTGAGGCTGCAGACCCAGGACTGAGGCTGCAGACCCAGGACTGAGGCTGTAGACCCAGGACTGAGGCTGTAGACCGAGGACTGAGGCTGTAGACCCTGGACTGAGGCTGTAGACCCAGGACTGAGGCTGTAGATCCAGGTCTGAGGCTGTAGATCCAGGACTGAGGCTGTAGATCCAGGACTGAGGCTGTAGATCCAGGACTGAGGCTGTAGACCCAGGACTGAGGCTGTAGACCCAGGACTGAGGCTGTAGATCCAGGTCTGAGGCTGTAGATCCAGGACTGAGGCTGTAGATCCAGGACTGAGGCTGCAGACCCAGGACTGAGGCTGTAGACCCAGGACCTGAAGAGGGTCCCATATGGGGAGGGGGTCCAGTTCTTGTTGCTGGTTTGTGCCCATAGTCTTCCTCCTGTGTGTCTGCAGGTGATCGTGGCCCAGATGGAGGTCTATGAGAAGAGTCTGAAACAGGCCCGGAGGAATCTGCTCAACAAACTGGACTGGGGAGAACCCATCCTGCCCCAACCAGAGGTAACAGCAGGGACTTAACCAGGGACTGGACCAGAGACCGGACAAGGGACCGGACAAGGGACCGGACCAGGGACCGGACCAGGGACCGGACCAGGGACCGGACAAGGGACCGGACAAGGGACCGGACAAGGGACCGGACCAGGGACCGGACCAGGGACCGGACCAGGGACCGGACAAGGGACCGGACCAGGGACCGGACCAGGGACCGGACCAGGGACCGGACAAGGGACCGGACCAGGGACCGGACAAGGGACCGGACCAGGGACCGGACCAGGGACCGGACAAGGGACCGGACCAGGGACCGGACCAGGGACTGGAGCTCATCATAGTTTAACATTTTTATGTTTTATGTGACGTACGTTTTGTTGCAGACACCGCCGTCTCCAGAGTCCACTTCACCCTCAGTGAATCCTCCTCGGTAAGACTGCAGGTACCTGGTGTGACCAACAGGGGGCAGTAGGAGGCAGCAGGAGGCAGCAGGAGGCAGCAGGAGGCAGCAGGAGGCAGCAGGAGGCAGTAGGAGGCAGCAGGAGGCAGTAGGAGGCAGTAGGAGGCAGCAGGAGGCAGCAGGAGGCAGCAGGAGGCAGCAGGAGGCAGCAGGAGGCAGCAGGAGGCAGCAGGAGGCAGTAGGAGGCAGCAAGAGGCAGCAGGAGGCAGTAGGAGGCAGCAGGAGGCAGCAGGAGGCAGCAGGAGGCAGTAGGAGGCAGCAGGAGGCAGCAGGAGGCAGCAGGAGGCAGCAGGAGGCAGCAAGAGGCAGCAGGAGGCAGCAGGAGGCAGCAAGAGGCAGCAGGAGGCAGCAGGAGGCAGCAGAATCAGAATCAGAATCAGAATCATTTTTATTGCCAACGTAAGTAACGGGAGGTCACAGACTTGGAAATTGCTTTGGCTCAGTGCAACAGTCAAAAAGAGATAATAAAAATAAGAATAAAAAACACTTCTAAAGAATAAATTTAAATTTAAAATAGAGTTACAGTTACTATTTACAATATACAAGTGCACATGGTGCACACAATGTAAGGTGACAGCAGTACAGTGAAGTAAAGTGACGTATGATGGGCAGTAAAGTGACTTTATAAAGGGCGGGGGGACAGGTTAAGAAGTGTTCAAGAGTCCAACAGCAGAGGGGAAGAAACTGTTCTTGTGGCGGGAGGTTCTAGTCCTGATGGACCGCAGCCTCCTGCCTGAGGGGAGTGGTTGGAATAGTCCATGTGCAGGGTGAGAGGGGTCGGCTGTGATACGACCAGCCCGGCCTCGAGCTCGGGCGACGTACAGGTCCTGCAGCGATGGAAGGCTGCGGCCGATCACTTCCTCTGCAGAGCGCACAATGCGCTGTAGTCTCTGTTTGTCCCTGACTGTGGCTCCAGCGAACCACACGGTGATGGAGGAGGTGAGGATGGACTCGATGATGGCCGTGTAGAACTGCACCAACATCTGTGCAGGCAGCTTGGCTTTCCTGAGCTGCCGCAGGAAGTACATCCTCTGCTGGGCCTTCTTGATGAGAGAGCTGATGGTCGGCTCCCACTTGAGGTCCTGGGTGATGGTGGTGCCCAGGAAACGGAAGGACTCCACAGAGGTGATGGGGGAGTCCATCACGGAGGGTGGGGGCGGGGGGACAGTGCTCTTCCTGAAGTCCACAATCATCTCCACTGTCTTCTGGGCGTTCAGCTCCAGGTTGTTACCACTGCACCAGGACACCAGCCGGTCCACCTAGCAGGAGGCAGCAGGAGGCAGCAGGAGGCAGCAAGAGGCAGCAGGAGGCAGCAGGAGGCAGCAGGAGGCAGCAGGAGGCAGCAAGAGGCAGCAAGAGGCAGCAGGAGGCAGCAGGAGGCAGTAGGAGGCAGCAGGAGGCAGCAGGAGGCAGCAAGAGGCAGCAGGAGGCAGTAGGAGGCAGCAGGAGGCAGCAGGAGGCAGCAGGAGGCAGCAGGACAGCAGCAGCTGGTTTTACTGCAAATGGCAAATAAATGAATCTGAATCTGAAGGAGGCAGCAGGAGGCAGCAGGAGGCAGCAGGAGGCAGTAGGAGGCAGTAGGAGGCAGCAGGAGGCAGCAGGAGGCAGCAGGAGGCAGTAGGAGGCAGCAGGAGGCAGCAGGAGGCAGCAGGAGGCAGCAGGAGGCAGTAGGAGGCAGTAGGAGGCAGCAGGAGGCAGCAGGAGGCAGCAGGAGGCAGTAGGAGGCAGTAGGAGGCAGCAGGAGGCAGTAGGAGGCAGCAGGAGGCAGCAGGAGGCAGCAAGAGGCAGCAGGAGGCAGTAGGAGGCAGCAGGAGGCAGCAGAGGGCTTGTTTCTTAAGCCTAGCGTACATCGACAGAAACTGGGGACAACTAGTTGAAGGCGGCTTTTGGCGACTGAGAGTAGATGATGGAGATGATGGAGATGATGGAGATGATCAGTTGCCAAAATCGGTCGATGTGAGCGCTCTTACAACTGGAGATGATCAGTCAGTTGCCCGTGTTCTACTTTTCGGCAACTAGTTGTCCTCAGTTTCGGAGATATGACCCGATGTGCGCGCTCCATGCGCCGCTCCGACAACATGTGTGTATTGCGCCCGCAACAGTTTATGTCAGAAAACACACTGTAGTTGAGGCCAGTTGCTGTCGATGTACGCGCTGTTATTCCCCAGACTGGTCTGATACAGGAGTTACCTGTTATTCCTCAGACTGGTCTGATACAGGAGTTACCTGTTATTCCTCAGACTGGTCTGATACAGGAGTTACCTGTTATTCCTCAGACTGGTCTGATACAGGAGTTACCTGTTATTCCTCAGACTGGCCTGATACAGGAGTCGCCTGTTATTCCCCAGACTGGTCTGATACAGGAGTTACCTGTTATTCCTCAGACTGGTCTGATACAGGAGTTACCTGTTATTCCCCAGACTGGTCTGATACAGGAGTTACCTGTTATTCCTCAGACTGGTCTGATACAGGAGTTACCTGTTATTCCCCAGACTGGTCTGATACAGGAGTTACTGTTATTCCCCAGACTGGTCTGATACAGGAGTTGCCTGTTATTCCCCAGACTGGTCTGATACAGGAGTTGCCCGTTTTCGCCAGATTGTCGATGTGTGCGGGGCAGCAACTCATATGCGACGGATATAATCCGATGTACGCTAAGCTTTAGAGTGAAGTTGAGACAGAAAACTGCACTCACTAAATAGAAACGCCACATTATTAATGCATAGTTTAACTGTATTCACACAGAGACACACAGAGACACACAGAGACACACAGAGACACACAGAGACACACAGAGACACACAGAGACACACAGAGACACACAGAGACACACAGAGACGCACAGAGACGCACAGAGACGCACAGAGACGCACAGAGACACACAGAGACACACAGAGACACACAGAGACGCACAGAGACGCACAGAGACACACAGAGACGCACAGAGACACACAGAGACACACAGAGACACGCAGAGACGCGCAGAGACGCGCAGAGACACGCAGAGACGCACAGAGACACGCAGAGACGCGCAGAGACGCGCAGAGACGCGCAGAGACGCGCAGAGACGCGCAGAGACACGCAGAGACGCGCAGAGACGCGCAGAGACACGCAGAGACACGCAGAGACACACAGAGACACACAGAGACACACACTTACACACAGACAAGTGACAGAGAGTCACACACACACACACAAACACACAAGCAAAACCCAGCCAGATATAAGGTTCAGGAGCGTTCTCCCATCATGCACCTGGTCGTTCACCGTTTCCTGTTGGTGCTCTGAGACTCTGAGACTCTGAGACTCTACTCTCTCTAAGTTCTAAAACATGTGATTTCAGACGCTCACGACGATGGAAAAGAAAAATACTGGAGACAGAATCTGATGCGGAGGAGGAGGAGGTGGAGGAGGAGAAGGAGGAGAAGGAGGTGGAGGAAGAGGTGGAGCAGGAGAAGGAGGAGGAGGACTCTCAGAGGGAGAAGGAAGAGGAGAGGGACCAGACAGAGTGTGAGGAGCCTGAGAGGGACCAGACTGAGACAGACCAGAGGAGGGACCAGGAGGAGCAGGTGGAGTCGGACTGTGACGTGTGTCCAGGTAAACACCTCCATCCTCTGTTTCTGCTCCATGTGAGAATTAAAGCTCAGGTCCCTACTTTGAGTTCAGAAATAACACATGTTTGTTCCAACAGAACTCTTGACAAGTCACACATCAGACTTTTAATCTTATTAGAAACTTTGTAAGAAAGAGCCCTGTGAGTCGCTGGATTATCTCTAAACGCTTTGGGCCGATCTAAAGAGGGTCATAGTTACTTGTGTAACTACGGTTCTATGAATCCTGTCAGAGCCCCAGGACCCTGTGGTCTGACAGAAGGTTCAACAGGAAGAGTCTGAGGGCTCTGAAGGGCTCCCATTGGTCCTCCGGAGTCACCTGGTGTTAGCTTTCAATTCAATTCTATCTGCGTTAGCATTAGCTTACAGGCGGGACCCCAAACATGCTCTCGAGCCTTCAGTGCCACTTCAATTTATTCAATTTATTCAATTTTTCTAAATTATTCTAAATCACAACAGCATCATCTCAGAGACTGAACTAAAGCATTGAAGTCACAGATCAGAGAATCAACAGTTAGACACAGAGATTAAACAAATGGACTGATCCATGAGGAGAGACCGATGTCCAAGAATGATAAAGTTAAACATTGTCTTTATCACTGCGGTGTTTCCACGTCTCAGAGTTTAAACTCGTCACATGGATTTTAATTCAGAGTTAAAGGACCTGCTTCAAGGATCAGCTGTTCTTAGTGTCGCACCAAACAAAATATTATACTCAGTCCATAATAAACATGCTCTGAACGACCACAGGAAACATTATTATTATTATTATTATCATTAGAGTCACTGATGGTTGTTTTGATGGTCCCACAGAGACGCAGCTCAGTGATGACATCACGCAGGATCTAACTCAGGTGTGACATCACAAATGTTTCTTTAGTTTCGTTTGTAATCACTCCAACTCTGGTTCAGACTGAGGCCAGGAGTCCAGAGATCGACCCGGTCCGACTGGACTCTCCAGAGCCGACTGAGGCAGAGAGGGCGGAGCCTGAGGCAGAGAGGGCGGAGCCTGAGGCAGAAAGGGCGGAGCCTGAGGAACCAATGGACACCGCACCAGCAACAGCCCAGGGTAACACACGGGTGTATAAGAAGAGTGTGACATCACCACAGTCACAGTGCGATGTCACACTTCATTAAGCTAGCATGTTAGCATCCTTCATGTCCATACAGTCTGTGTTAGCATGTAGCATCTGTAAACAATCTGTGTTAGCATGTAGCATCTGTATACAGTCTATGTTAGCATTGTCCATCTGTATACAGTCTGTGTTAGCATTGTCCATCTGTATACAGCCTGTGTTAGCATGTAGCATCTGTATACAGTCTATGTTAGCATGTAGCATCTGTATACAGTCTGTGTTAGCATTGTCCATCTGTATACAGTCTGTTAGCATGTAGCATCTGTATACAGTCTGTGTTAGCATGTAGCATCTGTATACAGTCTGTGTTAGCATGTAGCATCTGTATACAGTCTGTGTTAGCATGTAGCATCTGTATACAGTCTGTGTTAGCATGTAGCATCTGTATACAGTCTGTGTTAGCATGTAGCATCTGTATACAGTCGATAATGTCGTGTGTGGATCATTCTGAATCTGAAACAAAGAAATGTTTTGTTGCTTTCAGAAGCCGAGTCCTCACCACACCTGCTCCTCAAACCTGTGGGGGTGGGGTCTCCCTGCTGTGAGTCCAGAGTGGACCCAGACCTGGACCTGGACCTGGACCCAGACCAGACCTCAGTCCCGGCGGCTCCAGTCCAGTGCCCCATGTGTCAAAGGGTTTTCCCGCCGGAGCAGATCGAGATGCATGCGGAGTTTTGTGACGGAGAATCTCCGAGGGACAGAGGTCAGAGAGAGACCAGAGAGAGACCAAAGAGAGACCAGAGAGAGACCAGAGAGAGACCAGAGAGAGAGACCAGAGAGAGACCAGAGAGAGACGAGGGAGAGACCAGAGAGAGACCAGAGAGAGACCAGAGAGAGAGACCAGAGAGAGAGACCAGAGAGAGACCAGAGAGAGACGAGGGAGAGACCAGAGAGAGACCAGAGAGAGACCAGAGAGAGAGACCAGAGAGAGACCAGAGAGAGACCAGAGAGAGAGACCAGAGAGAGAGACCAGAGAGAGACCAGAGAGAGAGACCATTATAAATGTCTTTGTTCTTTTAGTTTCCCCCAAAGCGAAGAGGAAAAGGACGAGACGTGGCGCCGCGGAGGACGCTGACCACACAGACTCTGAGTATGTTACATTTGAGTCTGACTTAAAGCTCGGGTACCTGACTTTCTCACCACAAAACAACTGAATAATGTTGTAGTTTTAAACTGTTGGTTTGTTCCCAGCTCCAGACACAGAGCGGCTGTGGAGAAGTGCTACATCTGTCACAGAGACGTCCCCATACGAGAATACAGCCGCCACACAGAGAGGTGCATCCAGAGGAGAGAGCCCAGCACCACAGCCGTAAGGATCAGAGAGAGACCTGGACCACAGCCGTAAGGACCAGAGAGAGACCAGAGAGAGAGACCTGGACCACAGCCGTAAGGATCAGAGAGAGACCTGGACCACAGCCGTAAGGACCAGAGAGAGACCAGAGAGAGAGACCTGGACCACAGCCGTAAGGATCAGAGAGAGACCTGGACCACAGCCGTAAGGACCAGAGAGAGACCAGAGAGAGAGACCTGGACCACAGCCGTAAGGACCAGAGAGAGACCAGAGAGAGAGACCTGGACCACAGCCGTAAGGACCAGAGAGAGACCAGAGAGAGAGAGACCTGGACCACAGCCGTAAGGATCAGAGAGAGACCAGAGAGAGAGAGACCTGGACCACAGCCGTAAGGACCAGAGAGACCAGAGAGAGAGAGACCAGCACCACAGCCGTAAGGATCAGAGAGACCAGAGAGAGAGAGAGAGCCCAGCACCACAGCCGTAAGGACCAGAGAGACCAGAGAGAGAGAGAGAGCCCAGCACCACAGCCGTAAGGACCAGAGAGAGACCAGAGAGAGAGACCTGGACCACAGCCGTAAGGACCAGAGAGACCAGAGAGAGAGAGAGCCCAGCACCACAGCCGTAAGGACCAGAGAGAGAGAGAGAGAGAGAGCCCAGGACCACAGCCGTAAGGACCAGAGAGAGAGAGAGAGAGAGCCCAGCACCACAGCCGTAAGGACCAGAGAGACCAGAGAGAGAGCCCAGCACCACAGCCGTAAGGACCAGAGAGACCAGAGAGAGAGCCCAGCACCACAGCCGTAAGGACCAGAGAGACCAGAGAGAGAGCCCAGCACCACAGCCGTAAGGACCAGAGAGACCAGAGAGAGAGCCCAGCACCACAGCCGTAAGGACCAGAGAGACCAGAAAGAGAGCCCAGCACCACAGCCGTAAGGACCAGAGAGACCAGAGAGAGAGCCCAGCACCACAGCCGTAAGGACCAGAAAGACCAGAGAGAGAGCCCAGCACCACAGCCGTAAGGACCAGAAAGACCAGAGAGAGAGCCCAGCACCACAGCCGTAAGGACCAGAGAGACCAGAGAGAGAGCCCAGCACCACAGCCGTAAGGACCAGAGAGACCAGAGAGAGAGCCCAGCACCACAGCCGTAAGGACCAGAGAGAGAGAGCGAGAGAGAGAGAGAGCCCAGGACCACAGCCGTAAGGACCAGAGAGACCAGAGAGAGAGAGCGAGAGAGCCCAGGACCACAGCCGTAAGGACCAGAGAGAGAGCTGAGAGGCCAGGGAGAGAGACTTGATTTGAACAAACCAAATATAAATCTTTATAAGTCTATACGTCTTTTTTACTAGGGCTGTCAAAATTATAGCGTTAACGCACGATAATAAAAAAAATCATTTAACGCTTGTACTGAAGGACCTGCCCATGCATCCCATAATAGCACCCAGAATGCCTTGGACACATGTGTGATGGAGACTGAGCAGGGGCCTCTGTGGACACATGTGTGATGGAGACTGAGCAGGGGCCTCTGTGGACACATGTGTGATGGAGACTGAGCAGGGGCCTCTGTGGACACATGTGTGATGGAGACTGAGCAGGGGCCTCTGTGGACACATGTGTGATGGAGACTGAGCAGGGGCCTCTGTGGACACATGTGTGATGGAGACTGAGCAGGGGCCTCTGTGGACACATGTGTGATGGAGACTGAGCAGGGGCCTCTGTGGACACATGTGTGTGATGGAGACTGAGCAGGGGCCTCTGTGGACACATGTGTGATGGAGACTGAGCAGGGGCCTCTGTGGACACATGTGTGATGGAGACTGAGCAGGGGCCTCTGTGGACACATGTGTGATGGAGACTGAGCAGGGGCCTCTGTGGACACATGTGTGTTGGAGACTGAGCAGGGGCCTCTGTGGACACATGTGTGTTAGAGACTGAGCAGGGGCCTCTGTGGACACATGTGTGATGGAGACTGAGCAGGGGCCTCTGTGGACACATGTGTGTTAGAGACTGAGCAGGGGCCTCTGTGGACACATGTGTGTTAGAGACTGAGCAGGGGCCTCTGTGGACACATGTGTGTTAGAGACTGAGCAGGGGCCTCTGTGGACACATGTGTGATGGAGACTGAGCAGGGGCCTCTGTGGACACATGTGTGATGGAGACTGAGCAGGGGCCTCTGTGGACACATGTGTGATGGAGACTGAGCAGGGGCCTCTGTGGACACATGTGTGTGTTGGAGACTGAGCAGGGGCCTCTGTGGACACATGTGTGATGGAGACTGAGCAGGGGCCTCTGTGGACACATGTGTGATGGAGACTGAGCAGGGGCCTCTGTGGACACATGTGTGTTGGAGACTGAGCAGGGGCCTCTGTGGACACATGTGTGATGGAGACTGAGCAGGGGCCTCTGTGGACACATGTGTGATGGAGACTGAGCAGGGGCCTCTGTGGACACATGTGTGTTGGAGACTGAGCAGGGGCCTCTGTGGACACATGTGTGATGGAGACTGAGCAGGGGCCTCTGTGGACACATGTGTGATGGAGACTGAGCAGGGGCCTCTGTGGACACATGTGTGATGGAGACTGAGCAGGGGCCTCTGTGGACACATGTGTGTGTTGGAGACTGAGCAGGGGCCTCTGTGGACACATGTGTGATGGAGACTGAGCAGGGGCCTCTGTGGACACATGTGTGATGGAGACTGAGCAGGGGCCTCTGTGGACACATGTGTGATGGAGACTGAGCAGGGGCCTCTGTGGACACATGTGAGTGATGGAGACTGAGCAGGGGCCTCTGTGGACACATGTGTGATGGAGACTGAGCAGGGGCCTCTGTGGACACATGTGTGATGGAGACTGAGCAGGGGCCTCTGTGGACACATGTGTGTGATGGAGACTGAGCAGGGGCCTCTGTGGACACATGTGTGATGGAGACTGAGCAGGGGCCTCTGTGGACACATGTGTGTGATGGAGACTGAGCAGGGGCCTCTGTGGACACATGTGTGATGGAGACTGAGCAGGGGCCTCTGTGGACACATGTGTGTTGGAGACTGAGCAGGGGCCTCTGTGGACACATGTGTGATGGAGACTGAGCAGGGGCCTCTGTGGACACATGTGTGTTGGAGACTGAGCAGGGGCCTCTGTGGACACATGTGTGATGGAGACTGAGCAGGGGCCTCTGTGGACACATGTGTGATGGAGACTGAGCAGGGGCCTCTGTGGACACATGTGTGTTGGAGACTGAGCAGGGGCCTCTGTGGACACATGTGTGATGGAGACTGAGCAGGGGCCTCTGTGGACACATGTGTGTTGGAGACTGAGCAGGGGCCTCTGTGGACACATGTGTGATGGAGACTGAGCAGGGGCCTCTGTGGACACATGTGTGTTGGAGACTGAGCAGGGGCCTCTGTGGACACATGTGTGTTGGAGACTGAGCAGGGGCCTCTGTGGACACATGTGTGATGGAGACTGAGCAGGGGCCTCTGTGGACACATGTGTGATGGAGACTGAGCAGGGGCCTCTGTGGACACATGTGTGATGGAGACTGAGCAGGGGCCTCTGTGGACACATGTGTGTTGGAGACTGAGCAGGGGCCTCTGTGGACACATGTGTGTGTTGGAGACTGAGCAGGGGCCTCTGTGGACACATGTGTGTGTTGGAGACTGAGCAGGGGCCTCTGTGGACACATGTGTGATGGAGACTGAGCAGGGGCCTCTGTGGACACAAGTGTGATGGAGACTGAGCAGGGGCCTCTGTGGACACATGTGTGATGGAGACTGAGCAGGGGCCTCTGCGTGACCCGGGGCCTCTGCGTGACCCGGGGCCTCTGCGTGACCCGGGGCCGCTGCTGGGAGCCGCTGACATCACTGTGACGGGATCATCTCCAGGACCAGACTGTGGAGCCTCAGGAAGTGTCTCCTCCAGGACCAGACTGTGGAGCCTCAGTCGCTTCACGACTTAAAGTCTCTAAATTAAAGCTGGGGTACATAGTTTTTCCACGGCCTTTATGAGACAGAGAGAAATAATAAAGAAGAGGCTTTAGCTGAAGCGGAAATGTGCTGAAAAAATAGTGTCTACTACAGAAAGACAGAATTAATAATGTTAATGCCATTTTATGTGAAGTTATGGTTATAATAAAATAAATCATAAATCTTTCCATTCAAACATTTACAGAACACTATGGCCTCATTTTACCGATGGTTTGAAATGTGATTAATTACGATTAATAAATGTTTAAGCTTTAATTAACTCAATTAAATGTAATTGTTTGACAGCCCTAGTTTTTACTGAAGAGGTTGTAATCAGTGAATACAGAATAATAAACAGACCAGAATGATCCAGTGTCCTGTGTTTCAGAGGCTGCTGTCGGCTCTGGACCAATCAGGTGACTCCGTGTGTTCTCTCATAAACTGGTTTGTTGTTTACTCTCTTCTTATTTGACTTTGGCTTGTTTTTGTCGACAGAAGCTGGACCTTCTGCTTCCACTGCTCCACCACTGTAAGAACCTGAGAGAGACCAGAGGGACACCAGAGAGAGAGACCAGAGAGAGAGACCAGAGAGAGAGACCAGAGAGAGAGACCAGAGAGAGACCAGAGAGAGACCAGAGAGGGACCAGAGAGAGACGAGAGAGACCAGAGAGAGACCAGAGAGAGACCAGAGAGAGAGACCAGAGAGAGAGACCAGAGAGAGACCAGAGAGAGACCAGAGAGGGACCAGAGAGAGACGAGAGAGACCAGAGAGAGACCAGAGAGAGACCAGAGAGAGAGACCAGAGAGAGAGACCAGAGAGAGAGACCAGAGAGAGAGACCAGAGAGAGACCAGAGAGAGACCAGAGAGGGACCAGAGAGAGACGAGAGAGACCTGAGAGAGACCAGAGGGACACCAGAGAGAGAGACCAGAGAGAGAGACCAGAGAGAGAGACCAGAGAGAGAGACCAGAGAGGGACCAGAGAGAGACCAGAGAGGGACCAGAGAGAGTGACCAGAGAGAGACCAGAGAGAGACCAGAGAGAGACCAGAGAGAGACCAGAGAGAGACCAGAGAGAGACCAGAGAGAGACCAGAGAGGGACCAGAGAGAGAGACCAGAGAGAGACCAGAGAGAGACCAGAGAGAGACCAGAGAGAGAGACCAGAGAGAGAGACCAGAGAGAGAGACCAGAGAGAGAGACCAGAGAGAGACCAGAGAGAGAGACCAGAGAGAGACCAGAGAGAGAGACCAGAGAGAGAGACCAGAGAGGGACCAGAGAGAGAGACCAGAGAGAGACCAGAGAGAGAGACCAGAGAGAGACCAGAGGGACACCAGAGAGAGAGACCAGAGAGAGACCAGAGAGAGACCAGAGAGAGACCAGAGAGAGACCAGAGAGGGACCAGAGAGAGACCAGAGAGAGACCAGAGAGAGACCAGAGAGAGAGACCAGAGAGAGAGACCAGAGAGAGACCAGAGAGAGAGACCAGAGAGAGAGACCAGAGAGGGACCAGAGAGAGAGACCAGAGAGAGACCAGAGGGACACCAGAGAGAGACCAGAGAGAGACCAGAGAGAGACCAGAGAGAGACCAGAGAGAGACCAGAGAGAGACCAGAGAGGGACCAGAGAGAGACCAGAGAGAGAGACCAGAGAGAGAGACCAGAGAGAGAGACCAGAGAGAGACCAGAGAGAGAGACCAGAGAGAGAGACCAGAGAGAGAGACCAGAGAGGGACCAGAGAGAGAGACCAGAGAGAGAGAGAGAGACCAGAGAGAGAGACCAGAGAGAGAGACCAGAGAGAGACCAGAGAGGGACCAGAGAGAGAGACCAGAGAGAGAGACCAGAGAGAGACCAGAGAGAGACCAGAGGGACACCAGAGAGAGAGACCAGAGAGAGAGACCAGAGAGAGAGAGACCAGAGACCAGAGAGAGAGACCAGAGAGAGACCAGAGAGAGACCAGAGAGAGACCAGAGAGAGACCAGAGAGAGAGAGAGAGACCAGAGAGAGAGACCAGAGAGAGAGACCAGAGAGAGACCAGAGAGGGACCAGAGAGAGAGACCAGAGAGAGACCAGAGAGAGACCAGAGAGAGGGACACCAGAGAGGGACCAGAGAGAGACCAGAGAGGGACCAGAGAGGGACCAGAGAGAGACCAGAGAGAGACCAGAGAGAGAGAGACCAGAGAGAGAGACCAGAGAGAGACCAGAGAGAGACCAGAGAGAGACCAGAGAGAGACCAGAGAGAGACCAGAGAGAGACCAGAGAGAGACCAGAGAGAGACCAGAGAGGGACCAGAGAGAGACCAGAGAGGGACCAGAGAGACCAGAGAGAGAGACCAGAGAGAGACCAGAGAGAGAGACCAGAGAGAGAGGCCAGAGAGAGACCAGAGAGAGAGACCAGAGAGAGAGACCAGAGAGAGAGACCAGAGAGAGACCAGAGAGAGAGACCAGAGAGAGACCAGAGAGAGAGACCAGAGAGAGACCAGAGAGGGACCAGAGAGAGACCAGAGAGAGAGACCAGAGAGAGACCAAAAGGAGAGAGACCAGAGAGAGAGACCAGAGAGAGACCAGAGAGAGAGACCAGAGAGAGACCAGAGAGAGACCAGAGAGAGAGACCAGAGAGAGAGACCAGAGAGAGACCAGAGAGAGACCAAAAGGAGAGACCAGAGAGAGACCAAAAGGAGAGAGACCAGAGAGAGAGGCCAGAGAGAGAGACCAGAGAGAGAGACCAGAGAGGGACCAGAGAGAGACCAGAGAGAGAGACCAGAGAGAGACCAGAGAGAGACCAGAGAGGGACCAGAGAGAGAGACAGAGAGAGAGAGACCAGAGAGGGACCAGAGAGAGACCAGAGAGAGAGACCAGAGAGAGAGACCAGAGAGAGAGACCAGAGAGAGAGACCAGAGAGAGACCAGAGGGACACCAGAGAGAGAGACCAGAGAGGGACCAGAGAGAGACCAGAGAGAGACCAGAGAGAGAGACCAGAGAGAGACCAGAGAGAGACCAGAGAGAGACCAGAGAGAGACCAGAGAGAGACCAGAGAGAGACCAGAGAGAGAGACCAGAGAGAGACCAGAGAGGGACCAGAGAGAGACCAGAGAGGGACCAGAGAGGGACCAGAGAGAGACCAGAGAGAGAGACCAGGGAGAGACCAGAGAGAGACCAGAGAGAGACCAGAGAGAGAGACCAGAGAGAGACCAGAGAGAGAGACCAGAGAGAGGCCAGAGAGAGACCAGAGAGAGAGACCAGAGAGGGACCAGAGAGAGACCAGAGAGAGAGACCAGAGAGAGAGACCAGAGAGAGGCCAGAGAGAGACCAGAGAGAGGCCAGAGAGAGACCAAAAGGAGAGAGACCAGAGAGAGAGACCAGAGAGAGAGACCAGAGAGAGACCAGAGAGAGACCAGAGAGAGACCAAAAGGAGAGACCAGAGAGAGACCAAAAGGAGAGAGACCAGAGAGAGAGGCCAGAGAGAGAGACCAGAGAGAGAGACCAGAGAGAGACCAGAGAGAGACCAGAGAGGGACCAGAGAGAGACCAGAGAGAGACCAGAGAGAGACCAGAGAGAGACCAGAGAGAGACCAGAGAGAGACCAGAGAGAGACCAGAGAGAGACCAGAGAGAGACCAGAGAGAGACCAGAGAGAGAGACCAGAGAGAGACCAGAGAGAGACCAGAGAGAGAGACCAGAGAGAGAGAGACCAGAGAGGGACCAGAGAGGGACCAGAGAGAGACCAGAGAGGGACCAGAGAGAGAGAGAGAGAGACCAGAGAGAGAGATCAGAGAGAGAGACCAGAGAGAGGCCAGAGAGAGGCCAGAGAGAGACCAGAGAGAGACCAGAGAGAGACCAGAGAGAGAGACCAGAGAGAGACCAGAGAGAGACCAGAGAGAGACCAGAGAGAGACCAGAGAGAGAGAGAGAGACCAGAGAGAGACCAGAGAGAGACCAGAGAGAGACCAGAGAGAGAGTAGAGAGAGACCAGAGAGAGACCAGAGAGAGACCAGAGAGAGACCAGAGAGAGAGACCAGAGAGAGAGCAGAGAGAGACCAGAGAGAGAGACCAGAGAGAGACCAGAGAGAGACCAGAGAGAGACCAGAGAGAGAGACCAGAGAGAGACCAGAGAGAGACCAGAGAGAGAGACCAGAGAGAGACCAGAGAGGGACCAGAGAGAGACCAGAGAGAGACCAGAGAGGGACCAGAGAGAGACCAGAGAGAGAGAGGAGACTGATGGATGTTTTGTTGCAGAGAAGTGATTGATCTGATCGATGATGACGAGGAGGACTCTGTGTCTTTGATCCACGTCAGTAACTCTCCCATCAGAGCCTTCACTCCCATCTCCGAGGCCCGCGACTGCCTCATCGACTTCAGGAACAACCGCAGCAAGAGAGCCAGGCCCAGAGCGGGAGCCAAGCCTGGAGCCAAGAGGAGGTGAGGACCACGAGGAGACCGGGAGGAGACTGTGAGGAGACTGGATCATCACGAGACCAACGTGCTCTGCAATACTTCTTCTTTCAAGGCTATTTTAATATTGTGTCACCCACAGACTGTGTTACAGATGCTACATGCTAACACAGACTGTATACAGATGCTACATGCTAACACAGACTGTATACAGATGCTACATGCTAACACAGACTGTATACAGATGCTACATGCTAACACAGACTGTATACAGATGCTACATGCTAACACAGGCTGTATACAGATGCTACATGCTAACACAGACTGTATACAGATGCTACATGCTAACACAGACTGTATACAGATGCTACATGCTAACACAGACTGTATACAGATGCTACATGCTAACACAGACTGTATACAGATGCTACATGCTAGCACAGACTGTATACAGATGCTACATGCTAACACAGACTGTATACAGATGCTACATGCTAACACAGACTGTATACAGATGCTACATGCTAACACAGACTGTGCTACATGCTAACACAGACTGTATACAGAGACACAGGCTGCTATGCTACATGCTAACACTGTAGACTGTACATGCTAACACAGACTGTATACAGATGCTACATGCTAACACAGACATACAGATGCTACATGCTAACACAGACTGTATACAGATGCTACATGCTAACACAGACTGTATACAGATGCTACATGCTAACACAGACTGTATACAGATGCTACATGCTAACACAGACTGTATACAGATGCTACATGCTAACACAGACTGTATACAGATGCTACATGCTAACACAGACTGTATACAGACTACATGCTAATGCTACAGATGCTACATGCTAACACAGACTGTATACAGGCTGTATACAGATGCTACATGCTAACACAGACTGTATACAGCATGCTACATGCTAACACAGACTGTATACAGATGCTACATGCTAACACAGACTGTATACAGATGCTACATGCTAACACAGGCTGTATACAGATGCTACATGCTAACACAGGCTGTATACAGATGCTACATGCTAACACAGACTGTATACAGATGCTACATGCTAACACAGGCTGTATACAGATGCTACATGCTAACACAGACTGTATACAGATGCTACATGCTAACACAGACTGTATACAGATGCTACATGCTAACACAGACTGTTTACAGATGCTACATGCTAACACAGACTGTATACAGATGCTACATGCTAACACAGGCTGTATACAGATGCTACATGCTAACACAGACTGTATACAGATGCTACATGCTAACACAGGCTGTATACAGATGCTACATGCTAACACAGACTGTATACAGATGCTACATCAGAAAGCAGCTGCATCATCACCAGCAGCAGCTCATCATCACCAGCACAGCTGCAGTCATCACCGAGCAGCAGCTGCATGCATTAGACCAAGCAGGCAGCCTGCATCATCACCACAGCCAGCTGCAATCATCACCCGGGGGGGGGGGGGCGGACCAGTAGCAGCACGACCCACCATCCTCATCCGCCATCCTGCTCCAAAGCAACCAAACCCTTCTTCATCTACGAGCGCCGCTCTGAGCCGCCAATCCTCACCCCAGCCTACACAGACAGGCCTGTGCGGGGTTTCCTCAACCACCTGGCCCCCCCTCCATTAAAGACTCCCTGCGAGCCACCCGTCCCCAAGGACCTGTCTTGGGTCCCCCCTGCCGACGCTCCACTCCATCAAGAGAGAATGGGGACAGAAGACCGTCGCCTTTGTTTTCATCGCCCGCCTTCACTGTTAGACCTACCTGAACACTCGCAGGGCTAATAAAATCGGCGATGAAGACTATTCCTCTCACACCCATAATTAGATCGATCTAGAGTCCTGTCCAACATGTCTAAACCACTCCCCATAGGTACCACCAAAAACCACCTAGGTTTCCAATTCACCTACAAAAACCACCTCAAGCCAGTCCCTTCCCAAACCTCATACCATGAGTCCACCGCCCACTTCCCCTCGTTCAACTCCAAAACCTCTGCCTCATCCCACCCCGTCCCTAAACCCATCACTCAAAACCCCTCAACCTGCCCTGCCCCCCTCGTTCAAGTCAACACCCAAAAGCCACCCCACCTCTCCATCCTCCACCCCGCGCCTTATCCCCTACCCCTCTTTTCTCTAAACACTAGGATGCACAGGGTACTCTGCTTCGCAGACACTGGCAGTCTAGTTAAGGAGAGACCCCGGCTGGGGCCCTGTCCATGAAGCCACCTGTGCCATTCCCTTAGTGATAACACAAAGAATACCTTACAGGAAAAACATCTGGAGTTAATCATTCTAATCTGAAAATCTAATTCTTGTTCCGTGTAAGAATCAGCCGACCGCCAACCGCTGATACTGAAAGATTGGGTTTACTTTGAAAACTTGCTACCTTATAGTCAGATCTCCTTTTGAACAATCTTTTTTAATTCAATAATATTATTTCTTCGTCAAATCTATGATCTTTATGTTCATAAGGCTGAAACTTGGCTTTGACCAAAATTCAGAAAATCAGTTTTAAATAGAACATCGACCACCAATTTCAAGTTGAATCTGAAATACGGGGAGAAACAAAAAGGAGGAGGCTTAGCTGCCATATTCAGAGACACTTTTGTCTCCCATAGAATTTCTCTTGTGAAGTTTTCGTCATTTGAATAAGTGTCTTTTAAAATACAAGCAAAAACAAATCTCCTCCAAACTCTATCGTTGACCTATACCAGGCCACCGCAGTCATGTCACCAGTTTTATTGATCATTTTAACCGAGAGTTTGCTTTCAGGGTTGTAATGCACAGATTTTGATAGTTTGGTTATTACAGGTGAATTTAAATATTTCATTTGGATAATGTTGATTGACAGAAATGCAAATGAGCTGATTCTGTACTTGAATCCTATTGAACTCACTCAGCACGTAAGTGGCCGCCACCCACAGAGCGAGAGGGCACACTCGTAGACGAGGCTGTTTGTTTACTAAAAGGGTGTGAGTGCTTGTCGAGTGAGATCAAATGTTGTAACGTGGTTCGATGTTGCTCTTTCGGATCATTTCTGTGTTTTTTTTTTTGACATGTGTTTTCACTAACAAACCCACAAGTGGGACACTGGTCAACTGTTGCGAAGCAAGAAGTCGCATAAATGAAAATCACGAGTGAACTATTGTATGTAAATGATAAACATTGAGATGCAACCGTATTCCCCTACTGTAGATGAAGCTGTTTAACTCTGTCACCACTATTGTTTTGAAATGTTACTGGATAACCGTTGCCGCCTGTTAAGTTAAAATAGTGAAAAAAATAAGCAGAAGTCCCCGCCGTGGGGTCTAAAGCAGACTCCTCGGTCAGGGCACAAAAGAGAAAGTGCCGGAGGGCCGATCGGAAGTGGCGCAAGTTCCAAACCCACCAGGTATATTACCGATCCTTCAAAGATAAGTTCGTGCGATTTAACCCGCGTGCTACTAGTACGCGAGAAAGGTATAATTTTTCTGAAATGATGTGAAGGCAGCATGCACCAATCTGCGTGTCTGTTTTCAACAGTTAATAGATTAACAAACCCTCCCCCTGTTCAAATGCCATTAGAGCTTACTTCCAAACGTAAATGCAATGAGTTTGCTAATTTTTTCAATGACAAGGTTCAAGGCATCAAAAGCGCCATTGTCTCCAATCCACAGATAACCATCCAACAACCAGAAAGGCTCTCTGAGCTAACTCACATTTGCACCTGTAAATGATAAAACTGTCCAAGAGATAATCTCCAGTTTGAGCTCCTCCACAAATCAGCCTGGATGTACTACCCACAAAGATTTCTGAAGTCTGTTCTGAGCATCTGTTACCTTCACTCACACAGATAGTAAACATGTCCCTTCATTCTGGAATATTCCCAAAGGCCCTGAAAACTGCAGTCATCAGGCCCCTGCTAAAAAAGAGCAGTCTGGATGCCACTGTACTTAACAACTATCGTCCCATCTCAAATCTGCCATTTATGGGAATGTCCTTGAGAAAGTTGTCTACCTACAGCTTACTAGATTTCTTATAATCAACAACTCATTTGATATGTTTCAGTCCGGCTTTAGACCCCACCACAGCACTGAGACTGCTCTCGTTAAGGTTACAAACGATATCCGGCTGAACACTGACGCAGGCAAAGTCTCAATCTTAATCTTGTTAGATCTAAGTGCTGCCTTTGACACCGTCGACCATGAGATCCTCTTACAGAGACTAGAGGACTGGGTTGGCGTCATCTGGGCACCGCCCTAAGTTGGTTTAGGTCTTACCTTGAAGACAGGAAGTACTTTGTGGAGATTGGAAACTGTGTCTCAGATCATATGGCCCTGACCTGTGGAGTCCCACAGGGTCGATCCTGGGACCTCTTCTGTTCAATCTCTACATGCTGCCGTTAGGTCATTGTCAGTTAATACGCAGAAACAAAGTTTCCTATCATAACTATGCAGACGACACTCAGATCTATGTCTCACTGACTGCAGGAGAACATGGACCAGTGGACTCACTCCTTCACTGTATCCAACAGATCAGTGAGTGGATGCAAAACAACTTCCTTCAGCTAAACGCAGACAAAACTGAAATGATTGTCTTTGGTCCCCAGAAACAAAGAGAGAGCGTCATCTGTCACCTACAGTCTCTCTCCCTAAAACCTTCAAACAAGGTCAGAAATCTAGGGGTAATACTGGACTCAGACTTAAATTTTAATAGCCACATCAAATCAGTAACATCAGCAGCTTTTTACCATCTAAAAAACATTGCCAGGATCAAAAACATAGTGTCTAAAGCAGACTTGGAGATTCTTATCCATGCATTTGTCTCCAGTAGGTTAGACTACTGCAATGGCCTGCTCACAGGTCTGTCCAAACAGGCTGTAAAAACAGCTGCAGTACATTCAAAATGCAGCAGCTCGAGTCCTGACAAGAACCAGGAAGTACGACCACATTAGTCCAGTCCTCAGGTCTCTGCACTGGCTTCCTGTGGCTCAGAGAATAAACTTTA